TTCTCTACTCAATTATCCAGCACTCAGTCAATTATTGGACAGAGATTTCTTCAACCCTTGGAAGCAGTCAATCTCCCAGTCTTTGCTAATGTGCTTTCCTGATAGGACACACCTCCAACACACATCCAGGCAGTTTACAACTCTGCTTTAGCCTCCACTTCCTGCTTGTCCTCTTTGCTGAACATGCAGAGTTGTATTCATGCATATACCCTTTAAGAGTCCCAGAAATACTTTGGAGTTCTTCAGTGTCCCTGTGGTCATCTTTGAAGGTTTTTGGTCAGCCCACTGTTTGCTTTTATTGTGATTTATTGTCTCAGGCACATTTAAAACATGCACCTGTGACTTTTAAAATTCTTTTATCAAGCATCCTATAGAAAGAGGCTTTACACCGGAAAGCTCAGGTCAAATAAAGACAAGCCTTTCTACTGGTTCTTCTAAGAAACCACCATACAAGTCAAATACAGATTAAGCATTTCTAATCACAAAATCTGAAAACCCAAATGTCCCTAGATCTGAAATTTTTTGAGTGGCAATGTGACACGATGAATGGAAAACTCCACACTCGACTTCATGTGACAGGTTGCTGTAAAAATGTAGGAGCACTAAAAGATTATACAAATTGTTTTCAGGCTATAAGGTATATACGCGACATTAATGAATTCTGTGTTCAGACTTGGGTTCTGTCCCATTATGTATATGCAAACGTTCTAACATCTGAAAAATCCCAAATGTGAAACACTTCTGGTTCCAAGCATTTTGGAAAATGGATACTCAACTATAGATGACAATTCTTTGGGAATGAAGCTTTGAAAAATCTCTAACTCCATTCTGCTCTTTCAGTACTAGGGAGCCAGGACAGGTTAATACCATAATGTTTGTTCTTCTAAGATTCAGCCACAAGACTGGCTAAATTCCAAAGTTCTGAGAAAGTTGATTCTGATGTTTACTGTTTTATTCATTAGGTTTTTGGAAAATGCGGAACTTCAGAGGTCCTTATTCTGCCATTTTCTCTGAAGTCACCCCCACATTTCTTGTTATTAGGTAGGTAATTTACTTGGTTGGAATCATCTCCAAACTTTGCCTCATGTGGGTGTTAGCAGGATTCTCAGTTCCACTCCAGCCTGAGGATTTGGAATCTGCCCCATACTCACAGAGTTCAGGGGGAGCCAGCGACTTGGGGAATTCATACATAGAATCTGGTGGTTACCTTCAGCTGTTTTAGTCTATTTTGGGCTGCTGTAACTAAAATATCACAGACTGGGACCCTTAAACAACATACATTTATTGGCCACACTTCTGGAGGCTGAGAAGTTGAAGGCATTGGCAGGTTTAGATTCTGCTGAGGACTGCTTTATAATTATAGGCAGCTGTTTTCTTGCTATGTTCTCATATGGCAAAGTTAAGTGAAGGAACGGACCAGGGATTTAGCTCAGTGGTTCCGGTGCCTGCCTGGCAAGTGGCAGGTGCCGAGTTCAACCCCCAGTACTCCCCTCCCCTCAAATAAATAAGTGAAGGAGCTTGGTGGGGGGAGGAGTGTCTCTTTTATAAGGGCACTAATTTCACGTACCAGGGCTCTACCTTTTTTATCTTATCACCTTCCAAAGGCACAACATCATAATACCATCACTTGGGAGTAGAGATTTCAAAATAGGAATTTTGGGGGATGGTTAGTATTCAGTCCATACCACTCTTCTTTAGGAATTCCCGTTTTATTTTTCAGCCATTGTGCTTCTTCTGATCTCTCTTCTCTAATTCTTCAAGTTAGAAAATAGCAAGTTTCATGTCTGCATTTAATCTCCCCACTTGACACACATAAAGGCCATAGCAGTGGGAAATTCAACCAATGCAGTTTTCTTCATCCAACCATTGAGTTCCCTCCAGATTCCCTGCATTTTGTCTTCCTCCAACATCTTCAGGTAGTTGTTAATCTAATTTTGCCCAGAGTTGTCATCTGTGGGAAGGGTTAGTCCAACAGAAGGTACTTCTCCACTTTAAAGAACTTGCAATCTGCAACTGGATTTTGTAAGAATAAATTAATTACTTCAAGAGCAAGCTTATAGCTAGTGAAAAGGCCAACTTGTTCACTGTCCTTTTTGTTTTTGAAACAGGGTTCTGCTAGTGTTGAACTCATTATGTAGCCCAGGATGGCCTCCAACTCATAGCAACCCACCTGTTTCAGCCTCCCAAGTGCTGGGATTACCGACATGGGCCACCATACCCGGCTCACTCTTTTTATATAATTACCTAGAATAATTATTTGGCCAGATATACATCAATGACCAAATCTCTTTTAAAAAAGGAAGATTATGGAACTGCATATTTTATTTTCAGTATTTTCAATAGTGCTGAAACAAAAGACACTGCTGCTAACTCTGCATTCTATGATAGTCCAAGGAAACCTCTATTCATCAAATAAAGAACCAGAGACCCAGAACTTTATGTAGTGACAAGAATTTGGAGGCTAATAGGAGAGGCAACAGTCATGTGAAAAAATGTAATGAAGGGTAACAAAAGCAAACAAAGTATATCTCCAAGTCTCATATGCAGCCCAACCCTCTCATGGAAAGTTTTAAAACTATTTTTCTTTTTTCTTTATGCGGTGCTGGGGATTGCACCTAGAGACTTGCACAAGCTAGGCAAGTGATCTACCACTGAGTAACACCCTAGTCCTTAAATTTTTAGCTTAATCTTTGAAGTTATAATATTTAATTTTTGTTTTTGGGGGGTACCGGGGATCAAACTCAGGACCTTGTGCTTTCAAGGCAGGCAGCAGAACCACTGAGCTAAATCCTCAGCCCTATTTAATGTTTTTAAAGTTTTTTTTAATCCTCAAATTTTTCTAAAGGCATTGGCTAAGTAAAGTACATTTATACAATTTTTAAAGGCAAGAATTGGGGACAAAATGTTGTGATCAGAGCTCTTCAGAGACATTACTTTGACACCACCTACTAGATGACTTCTGAACATTTTTATGCACATACATTTTCAATGCAGATTCTTATTCTCCAAAACAAAATTTTAAAAGTATTTTCAGGGCCGGGGATTTAGCTCAGTGGTTCCACTCCCTACCTCGCAAGCGCAAGGACCCAGGTTCGATCCCCAGTACCAAAAGCAAACAAACAAAAACAAACAAACAAAAAAAGTATTTTCAAAATTAATGACATCTGAATTCAAAATCAGGCCAACCTGTATTACTTGGAATTTGGCTGTATATCCACAATCACTTTAAGGAGAACATCTCCAGAGTAACTTCCTTTTAACAGGAGGAAATCAATTTTGCATGTTTGAATTTTATATGAAGTTTGTCTCAGCTGCGTCTCAGTTGCACCTGACAATTGCTGCTGTATCTTCCATGTCCTCTTTTATGAAAGTCTATGCACTCGGGCCGGGGATTTGGCTCAGTGGTTTTGCCGCCTGCTGCGCAAGCGCAAGGACCTGAGTTTGATCCCCAGTACCCCCCCAAAAAAAGAAAGTCTATGCACCAGACCCTTCAGATACATTATCAGAACACTATAACAAGCAAACATTAGTCTGTTCTGTGAAATTTCCCTTCTCCCCAGAACTTCAAGGTTGATTTTAGGACTATGATAAAAATCCTATTACTTTGCCTGAAGGGCACCTCTGACTCTCAGGTTTTGGGGAAAATAATAGCACCTACTTCACTGGTTACTGTGTAAATACAATGGTAACAAATTCTGGGCTCTACAAGAACCTCAACACTCCCTAAATTGTCATCAGTTATTCCAGCAGTCCTTGCTTTTCCTCTGGGACTATCCGCCCCTAACATACACACCCACAACTCCAGGCTGGGAGAATATCCATAAGGAAATGTCCCCATGTTCCACGTACTTATGACCAGATGGATTTCACTAGTGTAAGTTTACCTTAGAAAATTAGGAAAACATAGAAAAGTGGAAGAGATATTTTTAAGTTTCCCACAGTCTACTGCCCCTGAACAATCTGGCAGAGGCATTGCTCCTATGGACTCCTTTCACAGAGTGAGACTGGGAGGTATGTGGTCGGTCACCACCAACACTTCTCAGCCTCCCTGTGGTCTGATGTGGCCATATGACTAAATTTTGCCAAAGGTCTATATTCACATTTGCCACTTCCAGGTCCAACCCCCAAAACATTTCAGGCTGTTCTTTCTAGTTTTCTAACAATGACAAGTCTACAAGATGGAAATAAACCATGGGATCTATGTGGAGGAGGGTCATTCTACCCTAGGCATGTTACATAGTGAAGAGACAATACCTTTTGGTCTTAAGGTAATCAGATTGGAACTAAGGTGTGACCACATCATGGCAGAACCTCAACAACACTAACCATGAGTGCCACTGGATACACTGCCATAATGCTTTCTCTATTTTGTTTTCATATAGATACATGCCCTTGCATCCTCTTTCTTACACGTATTTTTCTATTATTATAAATTCTCCATGATGATGTAATGGCTGCATAATATCCCAGAAGATTGTTAAACTGTAATTCATTATTCTATTCTTGACAGTTTGCCCCTAATTTTTCTGGTAATGTTGTAATAAACATTTTTGTACAGAAAACTTATTTTGTATTTTGATTCAGCTTTTAAAACATGGGCTGGGGATGTAGCTCAGTGGCCTGCCTGGGAAGTGCAAGGTCCTGAGTTTGACCCCTGGTACCGCAAAGAAATAAATAAAACATCACCAAAAATGACATTATTCAAAAATGATATTATAAACACACTGTTGAACTTCCTTTCACAAAGACTGAGTCAATTATATTAATGAGTATGCTCATTTCATCAGACTTTGATAGCAAAGGGTTTTACAAACCTATGTAATAGTATAAATTTAGGTTAACTTCATATTTTAAAATTTCCCCTACTAATATTTGTTAACTACTTCTGTTCAATTAGCTATACCTCCTCTTTGAAGAATTTCACATTCTCCCATCTACTGGAGCATGTATTTCCTATAGATTTTCATAATCTAACATTAATAGATTCATCAAGAATAATCCAAGATTTCACAAAGCATTTTATTAAAAGTAAAACAAATATTAAGGCACAAAAATACATCAATTTAAAAAAAATCCTTCACTCAAAGAAACTTCTTCTAAATTATAGAATAATTTAACCTTTTCAAATTAAAAAAAATAACTTTTTAAGCCACTAACTTTCTCTCCAAATAAATGTTTTCCTAGTTTTAACATATTTTCTTAATATAGTACTGAGTTCCTATGTTATAACATATACTTCTTTAAAATTCTACTTTTGTCACTTATATACATTTGGTATGTTCACACCTTTAACCATGTTAAACTTATTTTTTATAAAGATAAGGCCTGGTATTTTGTATTGCTTCCTGCATGATGTTGACCATATAAAGATACAAGTACCAGAACTAGATACATAGACCTAGCATAACAACATCGCTCCATCTCAATAATGTAGAGCCAGTGAGACAGACCCAAACCTCTTTCTAAAAGAAAGTATAAAGATCAACATTATATATACATTTTTAATACTTTCAGTATTGACATTATAGAAGTGCAAACATATGTATTGTAATACAGAAGGGAAAGTTGGTATTCTATAGTATATAAAAGATAAATTATTTTCTTTACAGGAAAAGTATGAGAATATCTTAACATCTCTGAGGCTTAAAATATTCACCTATTTATCCTTGATTCTGCAATAAACTCACTATGCTTCAAAGAAAATATTTACTCATCTAAACCAAATCATAAAAATTCTTTCCTAAGCAAATTTCACACAATACATAATTCTAATACGGGCTGCATAACAAGAACTCTTAACCATTTTGCCTAAAAACACATGAAACTGGACCTGTATCCTCAGACCCCTTCATTAATACGGAGACCCATCCCAGTAAGCCAATGTGAGCACCTGGAAGACCGAGATCATGGGTCTGGAAACCCCATGCAGAGGCGGGTAGGGGGAGGATCTAAGCAGTGGCCAGTGGGAGCTCTCCCGTGCCCTGGAGGTGGCGTGTGGCAATGGTGTTAGGGCAGCCTCCTGTTTCCCTGTGGGGCTGAGAAAGGCCCAGAGGAATCCTCAGCTCAGGTCAGCACACATCAGCAGGTGACACAAAAGCAAGGCACGCACATCGCTTTCTAAAAACATTTCTGAGGTGATTAGGACCTTGCTTTCTTTGCAAAGAGAAGGGTGGTGTTTCGGCCAGCAGCTGTGCTACACAGGTAACATCATTTATCTTCTCAGTGGCTGAAAGAAGTGGGGTTTTTTTGTTGTTTTTTTGGCAGGGATCAAACTTGGGTCCTTACGCTTCTGAGGCAGGCAGCAGAACCACTGAGCTAAATCCCCAGCCCTAAGAAGTGTTTTTATAAACACTGTAGAGGTTATATCAGAGGCCATTTCCCTTATCATCACACTTGCAGGCAACTCCCATCCCCACCCTACTAAATCTGCAGCACCTCTGGCCAAAAGCCCAGGGTTCCACACTGTGAAACTCAACTAAAATTGTGTGGTAAGCTGGGGCTCAATGTGCTCAAAGTCCAGGGGCAGGGGCCAGACAAAGATGTCAGTGGTGGGCCAGGGATTTAGCTTAGTGGTTCTGCTGCTTGCCTCGCAAGCACAAGGACCCAAGTTCAATCCCCAGTACCTCCCCCCACAAATAAAATAAAAATAAAAAATAAGATGTCAGTGGGCACTCTGGTCTGAAACCGGGTTAAAGGCAGAAAATGCCCAAACCAGCACAGACATACAGTTGGGCAAGAGTGGGTGGTAGCCCATGACTGAGGCAGGAGCTGAAGTCAATGGAACCCACACTGTTAAACGAGACATTCTTTCCCCATGAAGGACGTCCCAAAGAAATGGCATTTTGAGAACCATGCCTTTCTCTTGAACATCTGCCAACACTCTTCACTTGCCAAATCCTCACTATTGAAAACACATTTGTAAATATCTTTCAAGAGACATTACTACTAGAAATAAATCTTTACTAACTTCTCTGAAATGCATAAATAAGTAATTTTAAAAGTAGGCTTAAGAAAGAAAAAATTAGTTTGGTGGATACACAGTGTAAAAATTATGTTTTACGTGTTTGTATAGCTTATAATTTTTATGTTTTCTCAACAAAAATTCTTCAAAGTCCTTCTTAATTCACAAAGTTAGCATTTCCTCAGAGAAAAGACAGAGAAGATCCTACCTTTCATTACTGTTCAAAATGTCCACTAGCCCTGTGTCTTTGGTCATGAAAGCAGCAAAACATTCACATTTTCATTATACTACATTCAACTGCCTTTCAAGTTTAGAACAGTCTATATTTTTAAAAAAGATACTAAAACAAAAAATTTAAATCATACATTACAAAATAAGGTGTAAAACATAGTTGAAAGTTACTCAATTAATTACAAATTAACTGTGATGTACTGCACAGTTAAATATATGTTTTTATTACAAAACAGAAAATACCAAGATGATGTAAATGACAGTTCAGGTTTCCCCAAGGCTCACCAGGAGTGCAGGTCCCACCTGGCTGAGTGGGAATACTTGGGGGTGCCACATGGACAGGTGTGCACCACCAGCCCCGGCAGACACAGCAGCACATGCCCCCATGGCCCAAGGGTGGGGACAGTGGCAGAGCAGATCTCTGGAAGTGACCCTCAAGACTTCTCTCCTTGTGCACTTGTATCCCCTGAGCTTAGAGAAGACTTCACTCCATGATCCCATGTGCATAACAGTATTTACAGACAAGGGCATTGTGCAGACTACCAACAAAAGGCAAATGAAACATATAAATAAGCCTAGGTTCAAAGTTAAGTCACTTCAGTATAAAAGTAAAAGGAAATTATCTTTCCATCTGGTATCTATAAATCCAAAAGATGGAGACACTGATATACTCCACTTCAGAAGAATTACACCATCATCTATCTTAAAGCTGAGTGGAAAGTATAGCAGGCCTGTTTATATAATTTTTTTTAAAAACCTGGAATTGTCCTATTTTCCAGAGAAAAGAGACAGAACCCAAACACACAGGCTTGCCATCGCCAACTAACAGGCATCTGTGCACACATCTCTATGGTAATACAACTTTTCTCAGATTATTTCCAAATCCAGGCAATTCAATGGAGATTAAAATGACATTTAAAAGTCAGCTTTAAGGATGTCACAGAACCTTCTTACCACCCAAATTCTTCATTTTAATACATGTATTTCCAAGACAACATAGTAAGAACTTACTATGCTAAATCAACACAAAGCTTTCTGAGGCCTGAGGAAAGACAGTCCTTTACCATTAACCTGATTTCATTTACACAGGATCCAATCACATTATCTTTTCTGAAGAGAACATTTTTTCAGCCATTTCAGATCTGGTCATAATTTCCTACAAGAAAAAAAATAAAAAGAATAAAGATGCGTGAAAATGTTGACACTTTCGGAACCCTAAGATTCTCCAGTGTGGGGAGAGATGGAGCCAGAATGGCTCACTTAGGTCTAGACATCCAAGAATTCATCTCGCTTAATTAATGTATGTTTGAAATTATAAATCAATTATCAGGTAAATAATTTAAATGCTCCTTTAAAAGTAATTTTATGGCACAGCTTTTTGTAGTAATATATCCTCAAGTTTAATGCTGAATAGCAAGGCTGTCTCAAACATTCCTATCCTGCTACAGTCAAATCAACACAATGATGCAAACTCATTTCCCTCACTTTCCTAGAGTACAGCTCCAGCTGCCTCAGGCTCTACCACACTGACTCTCTGGCCTCTAGCACTTTCTCTGCACTCTTCCTTTGTGTGAGCAAAGATTCCATGTACCTGACCAGCCTTTAATTCTTAACACTTCACACTTCTTCCTGCCTTGGGCTACCCTTCAATGTTCAGTTGACTCAAAATTTTTTTAACTTTCCTAAATCTACATCTTCTGTTCAAATTTCCTGCTTAATCTATGAAAATGAGACCAACTTAACAACCCCAGCAAATATGTACAAGTATCAGATACTAAACTGCCACCTTAAAATATCCTAAACTCTTACCTATATCCAAAAATCTTAGAAAGCCACTAAAAGTTTCATAAATAATCCTTCTCTTTCACACCAACAAGCATTTCTCCTGCTTCTGTATGAAACAGGAATTTTACCTACAAATCTTTGCCACTTTATCACGGTATCCTTCCATCTGCTCAACTGATAATCATTTAAAAAGATAACTTTCAGAATTTCTTTCCTTGTGAAAACAATGCTAAAGATATAAGCAAAAACATGTTACCTCATCTGAATCCACTAACACTGGGAGTGCTCTGAAATAAAAGGAAAAAAAGTGACAATGTTATTAAAAGTAAGGCCAGTGAAGCCATGAATGTTGAATAGAGGACTATCATATGGCCCAGCAATTCTCACTCCTGGACATACACAGCTGACAGAAGGAAACACCTAGATTCACTAAGAGACATAGAGAAGAATTTCCACACAGCTCTGTTCTTTCTTTTTTTGGTACCGGGGATCAAACTCGGGACCTTGTGCTACACAGCTCTGTTCTTAATAGACCTAAACTGAAAACAATCCAAATGAATAAAGTGCACTATATTTATACAGTGGAATACTACACAGCTGAGAAAAATGACCATCTACTGAGGGATAAAATTTCTTTCTTTTTTTTTTTTTGTTGGTATCAGGGATCAAACTCGGAACCTTGTGCTTGCAAGGCAGGCAGCAGCACTGAGCTAAATCTCTGGCCCTATTGAGAGGGAGAATTTCAAAAAAACAACGGAATCTAGTTTTAGATATCAGGATAGCAGTACCTTTGGGAATGTGGGCTCCTATCTGACAGGGAAATTAGGAGGTTTTTAAGGAATTAGCAATGTTCTCCTTTTTGACCTAGGTGCTGATTATACTAATGCTTTTCCTTTTAACAATTTAATGAGCTATACACTTATTTAGGATGTGTGTACTTTCAAGAAAGTATTCCTTTAAAAATTGTTCAAGGGGGCCAGGGATTTAGCTCAGTGGTTCTGTTGCCTGCCTTGAAAGCACAAGGTCCAGAGTTCGATTCCCACTATTAAAAAAAAACAACCCCCCCAAAAAAACCACACCTGCTCAAGGTTGACCGAAATTTCAAAATGGAAACAAATACAGTATACAATCAGCAATCCCACATCCTCTATCAGTGATGGTGAACCTTTTCAACAGCTGCGGCACATAGGTTTGCCACCACTGACCTACATACTAGAGAAATAACAATGACCAAAAACATTACAGATAAATAATTAGAAACACAACAGATTTCCAACTATATTTACTTTTTTTTTTTTTGGTACTGGGGATTGAACTCGGGACCTTGTGCTTGTAAAGTAGGTGTGGTGCCGTAAGCTAAATCCCTGGCTCTGTATTTACTTTTTAATCCCTTGCTATTCTTCCTTTGAATAGCTGCATAGGTATCTGAGTGGTGATTTGCCATTTAATTAGAAAACCCACATTTCCCATACTTCTGTGAGAATGTAAGAGGAACAAGTAAACATATTATGGAAAGTGGTATTTATAGAAACAGACATTTGTTTAACCCATTTCATTATTACCACTGCTTGGATGTGGGGGTGGGGTGGTATGCAACATAATCTTTGTTCAGGAAGGAAAATATGGACAAGAAGACACATGTATGAAAATGTTCCAGGAAGCTTACTCTAGCTTCAGTGTACAACAGAGCTGTGCGGAGAAGAGCCTGAAGGGAAAGTCTCCATCCACAGCTACAACATGAAAGTCACGAATGGTATGCTGGACATGCTCAAGGAAGTCAGGCAAGATTTCTACATCCAGCAAAGCTAGCCTTTAAAATGGAAAGCAAAATAAATATATTTTCACATAAGTGAAACAGAATTTGTTAGCAAACCTATGTTGCAAGGAGTATTAAAGAAAGATCCACAGGAGAAAGCTCTTTGCTCAGATGTGCAGAAAGGTAAGAAATACTAATATATGGGTAAGTATAAAAGAATGTGTATACATATTTTCCTTTTATATTACAAGAAAAAAGTATAACAGTGCACTGTTAAGTTTTTGTTCCTATTCTGCACAGACTTGATATGCATGAATTTTAGTTACCACACTTTAAATAATATCAGTCTCTCTACAAGACAGTTCAAGTTCCAGTTACTCAAAAGCACAATGACGTACTGCTTCATGACCATTAAAACAGATGGTAGACAATAAAAAGAGCTGGCAGAAATATGCAGAAATTAGAATCTTTATATATTACTGATAGAAATATAAAACAATGCAGCTGCTTTGGAAAAGAGCTTAGCATTTTCTCAAAATGTTAAAACAGAGATATTACATGATCTATCAATTCCACTTCCAGGTATACAGCCAAGAGAAACGAAAATGCATACTCATGCATGTGTGCAAGCACATGCACTTGCACGCACACTCACATGCATGCACACACACACACACACACACACACCTAGAATCATATTCATAGTGATGAAAATAAAAAAGGGAAAATCTTAAAGTTAGCCAATCAAGGGCCGGAGATCTAGCTCAGTGGCACCGTGCCTGCCTCGCAAGTGCAAGGTCCTGAGTTCAATCAATCCCCGGTACCAAAAAAAAAAAAAAGCCAATCAATCAACCACATAAATCAAAGCCCACACAACTTATAAGACAAAGAATTAAAGCAGATTTTTTTCTGGATTTCTGAAAGATAGAAGACATTTAATTGACAATCTCTGAAGTACTAAAAGAAAAAAAAATCAAGAATTCTACACACAGCAAAAACAGTGAGGCAAACACTTTTTCTGACAAATTTGACAGATTCATTTCCAGAATTTTTCAACTAGAAGAAATATAAAAGAAATTCTTGAGGCAAAAGGAATATCAGCAACTGTCTAAGTAGGAGCCAGATGGAAGCAGGGAAAGTTAAGAATATATTCCAACTGTCTTTAATGTAGAAACAGCTATCTGGAATTCTTGTCAAACAAGACAGAGACAAAGTGAAACCTGAATAAGTCAATGTTCCCAGAAGGGATTCCTACAAGCTCTATTTTTTCTGTGTTCATTGTTGGTCCTCCAAAACCTTCCCCACACAGGGCCGGGGATTTAGCTCAGCGGTTTTGCCACCTGCTGTGCAAGCACAAAACCTTCCCCACACAAATACAAAGCAAAATAAAACAAAAAACTTCCCCATAATACATGATATTATGGCTGTGTATCGTGTTAAAGTTTTATGTATGTTTGAACTTTTCCATCATGTAAAATTAAAACAAAATAATGATCCTGTTAACTATAAATCAGAAAAGGCTAGAGTCTGTTATAGGTCATTAGTATTAAAGTGGTTGTACAGCGAAAAAGGATGGAGAAAGAGCCTAAGTCAAACTTTGTGTTGTTGTTTCATTCACTGGAGAGGGGAGCCTACAAGAACACAGAAGTGTGGGTCTGAAAAGCATGCTGACAATATGAGAGCCATCCCTTTACAGCATAAATTTAGATTTTTTTGGGTACCAGGGATTGAACTCGGGTCCTTGCACTTGCGCAGCAGGCGGCGAAACCACTGAGCTAAATCCCCGGCCCCTTAGATTTTTAATAGAGGATATTTACACATCTGTGAATGAAGAGGGAATATTTTCTTCCACCCACTTCAAATCTTCATCCTGCAGAAATAAATACTTATATTTAGCATTTGCTTCATATCATTTGAAGGCAGAATTTTTTTAGTAGAATGAAAAATTTAAGTATTTAATTCAAATGTACAGCATTCTTTTACTTGCTACATACTGTATCTCTTAGAAATTATGTCATGTTTTTATAAATGAGTAAGCTAAAAACTGATTTCAGAGTTCTGTACTTTTCGGCTTCAGTTGGATGCACAGTTATTATTCTTTTGTCCCAAGAAACTACAGTAGAAATGGTGTTGACACACAGGTGTTTTGTCCTTAGAAACTACATTAAAAACACAGTGTGCTAAGTTAAAAAGTAACAAGAACATTGATTTGTACTGATTTTTTGCTTCTCTGAAACTATTATGTTTCCTAATTGTTCAAGTTCTTATGAGTTTATGACTTTTCAAGAGAAAAGGATGATGGTGTAAATAATCTAACTTTATCAAGGTCTATTTATTTGTATCAGCTGGTTTTTCTTTAGTACTGGGGATCGAACTCGGGACCTTGAGCCTGCGAGGCAGGCAGCAGAAACACTGAGCTAAATCCCCCGGGCCCTGTATCAGTTGTTTTTATGCTCATATCCCTTTAGGAGATAAGAAAAGAAAAGCAGGTCAGCTGGGGTGCCTACATTCTTTTTTCCTAACAAAAAGATGCCTATGGTTATTTCACTGAGAAAAGAGAAAAATAAAAGGTATATTAAATATTTTGGTTTGAAGTACAAATCAAAAAAATTTTTTATTGTTTACCTAGCTACATGGAATGCTCTAGTTCTACTATTAATCACACATTGTCCACATCAGAGACAGTATGAATATTAAGGAATCCCCAATCTTTGAGTCTCAGGTAGAAATCAGTTTAATGAGCAATAAGCTCCCCAACTTCTGATCAATTAAGTGCTAACTGCAGTTAGAGAAATAACAAGTTATTTTCTTGATATATCTGCAAATATTGAGCTCTAAAATAAACTGAGATATATCACTAAAATAAGAGGGAAAATGCCTAATAAATAATAATTATTATTACTATCATTATTTCTTAATCTCCAGAACTGAGGTTTAAACACAGAGCCTCATGCATGTCAGAAAAACACTTTAGCACGAGGCAACATCCCCAGCCCTAAACTGAAAACGTAATACAGGATGCATATTCCTTATCCAAAATCTTTGTGGCCAAAAATGTTTTAGATCCAAAACCTTCCAGATTTTGAAATATCTGCATATACTTGATGAGATAGCTTAGAGATAGGATTCAAGCCTAAATACGAATTTCACTTATGACTCATGTTCACTTTATACACATTGCCTGAAGGTTATTTTATATAGTATTTGTAATAATTTTGGACATAAAAACAAAGTTTCATAGTGTGGAATTTTTCATTTGTGGTATCATGTAAATGTTCAAAATTTTTCAGATTTGGGAGGATTTTGAATTTTTTGGATTAGGAATGCTCAACCTGTAGTTCTAAAACCAGATAAATAAAACTAGCAATATTTTGAAAAGTTTAGTTAAATTACCATGAAACTATCAAAGAATACATTTTTCTTTTTGGTACTGGGGATCGAACTCGGGACCTTGAGCTTGCAAGGCAGGCACCAGAACCACTGAGCCAAATCCCCAGCCCAAAAAGAATACATTTTAAAGAATTACCACCCAAAACTGGAAAATTACTAAATCCAATACAAAACAATGCTTTCTTTCATCATCTGTCCTATCAGAACTTATATGCATATATAAATTTTTACACAATGTAAGTGTCTATATAATTGTTAAGACAGCAGAGTATTAAACTGCATGATAGGTATATTTCCATTTTGCTTCACTTTCATAATTATTACTTATATACATAAATGATATGCATACAAAATTTTAAAACTCATCCCTGCCCTATTTTTATAATTTCATTCAACCTTTCATTGTTTAAAAAAATATCAGATGACTTTGGTAACTATACAGGTAACACATGAAGTCTTTTCCCCAAAAGATTACAAATGTTATTTAAAATGGCTGCAAAAATCACTTACTATGCTGAAAAGTTAACACAAGCTTTTCCTATAACACAGCTTCTCCATCTTTACCGTGCACATGTACCACCTATGGAATCTAGTGGGGAAGCAGATTGGGCTGCAGCAGCTCTAGGGCAGGGCCAGGACTTCGTCTCTAACAAGTTCCAGAGGAGGCTCAAATATGACACACAGATAGATTTCTAAACCACTGAAGATTGAGATTCTATTTAATACATACTATACTCACAAAATTATCAGAAGTAGCAGGTTTAGCTGTTCCATTGGAAACTGTTTTTGAAGCTCTTAATTTTATTCCTTCAGCTACAATGAGAAACACAAAAATATTTAAGATTTTAAAATAATGTTTTCCTTTATAACTTCACATTTAATAACCCATTAAGGAAAATAATTATTTTTTTCTAAAGAACAGTTAGTTGTGAAAACTTGCTTGTACCACTGATGGTACAAATGGGTCTAATCACTTTAATCAGTCTTTTTACTGACAAAATTAATAAAAAGCCACCTGGTGGAACAGTCAAGCATGTATCACCAGTGGCTCAAGCTGCCCAGCAGAAAAACATTATGGCCCCACTGGGAATGTGTTAAAACAGAACTTTGGGTATTTTTTACTTCCCTGATGTATAAATTGTTGCAATGTGCTTATGGACTTAGGGAAGAAAAAGACATTCTTCATTATATGACCAAGGCTCTTCTTTATGTTGGCAGTGCCTCTGAAGGATCAAGAACTTGGGTCTGGAACTAACCCACCCCACATAGAACTCTGACCCTTTCTGTATAATCTTGGGCAAGCAATTAACTTTCTGTGATTCCACATTGCTAACTACAAAATGAGGATAACAGTAGCATCTACCTTATAGAGTTACAAAGTTAGCACATAAAGTGCCTGATACATAATCCATGCCCAGCAAGCATTCACTTTTGTTATTCCAGTAATTTGCAAATACTGCTCCTCCATAAACTAAGACAATTGGTACTATTATAAAGGCATCGACAGTGTAAGTTGATTTAATGAAATAAACTGAGATTCCTTAATCTAAAAATGTTTCCGGGGGGACTGGAATTCCAGTATTTCTTAGAGGGGCAATACACTAACTTTTGTAAATAGTATATTTATATAAAGTATAAAAAAATTTAAGGTACACACTAAAGCATATATATACAAGCATATATACTTGTATAACTACCATTCCAATCAAGATATTTAACATTTTCAGGGATGGAATGTAGCTCAGTGGTAGAATGCTTACTTAGCATCCATGAGGCCCTAGGTTCAATCTCTAGAACAAAACAAAACATTTCCAATATCCACAGAACATTCTTTATGTTCCTTTCCAATCAATCCTCCAGAAGCAACCACTATAGCTCATTTTGTCTGTTCCTGAACTTCATATATAGAATCATAGTCTACAGAATCTACATTCTTTTAAATTTGGCTACTTTCTTGTAACATAAGGATTTCTAAGATTAATTCATGTTATACAATGTTGGCTATTTTTGATCACTAAAGAGTATTCCATTGTATGGATATGTTACAATTTCTATATCCATATGCCTAGTGATGGACACTTGTGTTATTTCCAGATTTGGACTATTAAGATTAAAGCTGCTTTTGCTGGATGTGGTAGCAAAGGTCAGTAATCCTTGCTACTTGGGAGCTGAACCAGGAAGATCACAATTTTGAGACCAACCTGGGCACAAAATAAAATTATAAAAAAGGCTGGGCATATAGCTCAATGGTAGAACACTTGCCTAGCTTGAGTGATTTCCTGGGTTCAGTCCCCCCAGGACCACCAAAAAAAAAAAAAACTGTTAATAAACACTAGTATCTTTTCTCTTTTTTTTTTTTTTTTGGTACCGGGGATCGAACTCGGGTCCTTATGCTTGCACAGCAGGCGGCAAAACCACTGAGCTAAATCCCCGGCCCCTTTTGTTTGAGACAGGATTTCCCTAAGTAGTTCAGGCTGGTCTTGAACTGTGTAGCTCAAGGTGGCCTCAAACTTGCCCTCCTGCCCCAGCCTCTTGAGGGCTGGGATTATGCATGTATGTCACCACACGTGACTCTAAATTTGGCTTTTTAAGAAACTGTCAAACACCTCCTAAAGAGCTCTTATTACTTTCCATTCTTAGTAGTGCATGGGACATTCAGCTGCCCAACATCACCTTAACAGTTCATGCTATCAGTCGTGTACCTTAGCACCTCACTACGGTCTCTGGTGAATGTCTATTCAAGTCTTCTGTCCACTTTTTGCATGGATAATCTAACCTGCCTTAGGCTGGGCTCAAACTTGCACTCCTTCTGCCTCAGCCTCTCATAGTGTTGGGATTATAGGCATGTGTCACCATATCGTGATTTCTAGTAATTCTTATGTTCTAGACCTAAGTCCTTTCTGAGATTACATGTATTGAGAATATTTTATCCCATATTATAGTTTTTTCATTTTTTAAAAATTATTTTGATGAGCATGTTTGAAATTTTGATGAAAGCTGAGTTTTAAAATTTTACAGTAACTGTCTTTTGTGTACTAAGAAATGACATCATCCAAGGTCAGAAAGATATTTTGCTGTTTTTTCCTAGAAAAGTGATTTTACATTTAGGTATGTGACTTATCTTGAATTAATCATTGTGAGGTGTGTACTAGGAATCTAGGTGATTTTTTTCCCCATACATTTGTACAGTTGTTCCAGACTGTCTTTCCTCATATAAAGCCTTGGTAGCTTTGTCAAAAATCAATTACCTGGGGCCAGGGATTTAGCCCAGTGGTTTTACCACCTGGTGCGCAAGCGCAAGGACCCAAGTTCGATCCCCAGTACCAAAAAAAAAAATCAATTACCTCATATGTGTGGATTTCTGCACTCTGTTTTGGTAATTTGATGTATTTCTCTATCCCAACACCATTTTCACATTGGCTTGATTGCTATCATTTGAAGTTATTGTCTTCCAATCCATATATATCCATTAATTTTATTTTATTGAGATAAAATCTGCACTCCCTAAAATGAACTCTTTTAAAGTATGCAACTCAGTGGGCTTTTAAGATATTCAGAGTTGTGCAATTTTCACCACCTTTCAAAAGATTTTCATGATCTTAAAAAGGAACTGTGTATCCATTAGCAGCCATCCTTTCCTCTATCCCTGATGACCATACTCTCTGTCTCACCGATTTCTCTATTCTGTATCAATCCTATGGAATCACACCCTCTGTGACTGGTTTCTTTCACTTAGCATGTTTTTCAAGGTTCTCCTATGTGATATCTAATGAATGCTTGTACATTTCTAGGTCTTCCATTTTTCCATATACATTTAAGAATCAGCTGAAACATTTGGATTGCTTTGGGGGGGGTTGTTTTGTTTGAGGCACTGGGGATTGAAACAAGGGTCTTTGTACTAAGCTACATCTCCATCTTTTTAATTTTAAGGTAGGGCCTTACTAAGTCACTAAGTTGCCCAAGTTTGGCTTGAACTTATTTTTGAAGACCTTTTATTAAATTTATTATTAAATATTATTTTTGAAGACCAACTTTCCATGAAATTATATTCAGATATACTATATAAGAAATACAATATCTGTGTACTGGAGATATGTTCTGTAGTTCTGTTACAGTCACTTATCAGTTCTATCCTCTTCTGTAGACATCTTGGATTTTTCTATACATATAATCTTGTGGTCTGTAAATAAAGAGTTTACTTCTTTCTTTCCATACTTTCTGTCTTTTACAACCTTTGGGGTTTTGTCTCTCAACAATGTATAGGAAACCATATACATCCTCACACTGGTAAATTGATATTCTTGTACTCTGTCCCCAATCTTGGAAGGAAAGCATTCACAATTTTGTTATTAAATATGATTTTAGCTGTAGCTTTTTTATATCATTCTATAATTAGTTTGTTGACTTGTTTTTTTAAGATTTGCATCTACTGCAATTCATTTTTCTTCTTTATTCTTTTAATGTGATGAGTAACACAGTGATTTTCAAATGTTCAAACAAGCTTGCAACCCTTGGATAAAGTCCTCTTGAAGATGATTGACTTTCCATGTTTTTCTAGACTTTACTAATATTTTTAAAGGATTTTTATGTCAACTCAGTAATATTGGTAATTTTTTTTTTTTTTTGCAATGTCCTGTAATCTAAGTTGTGCTGGCCTTATAAAACAAGATGGAAAGTATTCCCTTATCTTCTACCTGCTAAAGTGTCAGGAGCAATGCTATATAATTTTAGGGAAAAATCATTTGATTAGGCCTAGTTCTCCTGCCTACAGGCCAACATGGCATTTCAAGACATAATTCCATTTTGGCCTCCGGTCACAACTGAGACCTCAATATCCCGTGATGTTGTGATGCTCCAGGGCAAGACCACACCACCAGGAGACATCCTGGGAGGAAACAAATCTTCATCTGCATAGTTTCTCATTGATCTAGGAATTCGGCCACTCCCTAGTCATGTTACATTTGTTTCTTCCAAAGTACTGAATAAAAGGTGTGGCAAACTCAGGGGTTTTTGTCTTTGCCACCCAGAGCAGCACTGATCAGGCCCAAACCTCAGCTTCTTCGCAAAGTCTCATTTTTTCTACCTTTCCTATATAATAAGTTAATTCGCCTGGTGCTGCCACGGCTCGCAGGAGACTAGGACTTACTGCAGAGGTTCTAGTAATGTCCCCCTTTCCTTGTTCCCTACAATAAAGTTTGCACAGGACTGGAGTATTTCTTCCTTAATCAAATATTTAAAAGATCCACTAGTGAAGCCATTTGGGCCTGGTACTTTATGGGAAATATTAAATTATGAACCCAATTTCTTTAATAGACATAGGGCGATTCACTTAGTGTCCTAAGATTAGAACTGAAATTAGGGTAGCTTTGTTGAAATTTTTTCAATGAATTTGTCTATTTAATCCAAATTTCCCTTTTACTATGATAAAGTTGTTCATAATATTCCTTATGTACCGTTATTATAATAATATCCTATCATTTCCAACATTGGACACTGAAAATTCCTTCCTTCGTTTCTTCCTTCTTCCCTTGCTCCCTCTCTCCTTCTTTCCTTCCTTTTTCTCTTTCAGTACTAGGCATTAAATTCAGGGCCTTTGCCCTGAGCTACACCCCTATCCTTTAAAAAATTTTTTTTTTAATTTGGAGACAGACCCTTGCTAAGTTATTTAGACTCGAACTTGTGATCCTCCTGCCTTGTCCTCCCCCAAGTGCTAGGATTACAGTAGTGCACCACCACACTTGGTTGATCAATTAACTTTTAAAAGATTAAAGAAAAAAAGAAAGTCTTCCATAAATACTCATGTATGCACCATTTTCAGTACTCTTATTTTCTGTTGTAATTTTTTTTGTTTTTGCTGAGACAGGGTCTTACTATGTAATTCAGACCAGCTCTGAACTCACTATGTAACCCAGGCTGGCCTGGAACTCATGGGATCCTCCTGCCTCAGCCTCCTAAGTGTTGGGAGTACTGGCCAGTACTCTTACTTTCTTCCTTTATATATATGAATTTCAAACTGGTTTCTTCAGTCTAACAAATTTCCTTTAACATTTTTCCTAGGCCGAGCCCACCAAAGCTTGGACCTTTCATTTATCTGAAAATAACTTTATTTCACCTTCATTTTAAAAAAATCATTTTTGTGGATGCAGAATTCTCAATTGGCAAGTTTTTTTCTTTCATTATTTTAAGAATGTCATTCCATTGTCTTTAGGACTTCACTGTTCTTCAGAATCTAGAGTATCTTCTTTCTCTAGTTAAAAAAAAAATTTTTTGTCTTTGATATTCAGCAGTAACTACAATGTCTAAATATGTTATTCTTTGTATTTCTTTTGTCTGAGGTTCACTGAGCTTCCATGATTGGTAGGCTGGTGTTACTGATCAATTTTGGAAATTATTTGGTCAATATTTTTGCAAATATTTTTTGATTCCCTATTCCCTTTCCTCCTTCTGTACCTCAATTATGCATGTTAGAATGTTTAGTACTGCTCACAAGTCATTATCTTTTGTCTCTAATTTGCAGCTTAAAAAACTTCACTGTCTTTTATTCTGTGTATACAATCTACTCATCTGCTGTTAATCCAATCCAATGAATTTAATTTTTCAGTTCTACTACAGTTCTATTTGGTCTTTCCTTCTCCTCTTTTCTTTTCCTTCACAGCTTCTATATCTCTCCTGCAATGGCCTTTGTCTTCATTAATCTCTTTCTGTAAATTCTTTTACAATTTATAATAATTACATTTTTAAAGTCCTTCTTGTTAATTTTAATATTTGGGTTACTTTTAGATCCCTTTCTATGACTGATTTTTTTCCATTACCTATGGGTCTGTTTCTAGTTTCTTCCCATGATACTAATTTATTATTGTATACTGGACATTTTAGGTGTTATCATATAGACACTGGATTCTCTCTTAGCTTCCTCTGAGGAATGTTGCACTTTTTGTTCTAACAGACACTGAAAGTTACTGGGTCACTCTGATCTTGCAGAAGCTGCTTTTATATTTTATTAGCATAGTCTTATTTTAGCTCAGCTTTAGTTCTAGGATGAATTCCAGTGGTCCTAGAATGTGGTTCTCATTTCTAAGGAATGGCCCTTTCAGGGATTTCAACGGAAAGCCCAAGGTGTTTGTGCAAGTCTCCCTGCACTCCTTTTTGGGACAGGGTCTCACTATGTAGTTCAGACCTCTCCTGAACTCACTATGTAAGCTAGATAGGCCTCAAATTCACGGTGATCCTCCTACCTTAGTGTGCCACCACATTCAGTAAGCCCTTTTAACTTGCTGAGACTTGACTTTCAAATGCTACAGTGGGAAGCTACTGAAATCTCTCTGTTATGCTCTTCAGAGTAATGGCTGTTTTTCTCTTTTATCATTAGCATCTTCAGAATCTTACTTTGTATATATCCAGTTCAACCATTAGCTAAGATTTGAAGAACTGTACAAACTTTGAGGTTTCTCTCTCTGTGGCTCTCCATGTTCTTGATTTCTCCCTTCAATTTCCAGGCGTTTCTAGCCACAATTTCTAGTTTTTCACTCCTGGTATCAGTAAGTCTGCACTTTCCTCCTGGAGCTCTGCACCAGCACCATCAATGACAGTGTACTCAGAATGAAAGCTCTGCAAGTGGGACTTACAAAGGCTGCACTTCCCTCCGTCAGCAGGCAAATGCCCTCCAGCTTCTGCCTACTTTCTTGTTTTGCTCTCCAATGCCTTCAGCTATTTTTTTTCCCCAGTATTTCCTCTCGAGTTTATTTTTACCAACCAGAAGGTCTATCTGATACAATTCACCCCAACATTTCTTTAAGCCAGAACCTTAATGCTCTGAATCCTAATATATTAACTCTGAATAAGTTGTCCAGTTTCCTTTCTTAACAAGAGTCAAAAAAACATGAAAGAATTAGTTACAGGTGACAGCCTTCATACATCTTTAATTAGAGTATCAGGGTAACATTAACCAAAAGATAAAATGTGATGTAGATATAGAAAAAAATGAAAACAGCACTAAAACTGTAATTAGGGCATGAATTTGGGCATGAACAGGAAATTGTAGGTATGCGTACTTTTAAAAGAGTAAGGGCAGACAATTCACAGAAATCCAGCAGTTATCATTAAGAGAAACATAATTTAGGCACTAAGTACAATACATCTCAAACCATTCTCATGAAAACCCACGTACCTACTTTAATCCGTGAGACCAAATGAGTAATAAAAGCTCAAACCACATGAACAATCTCAAAATTTTAATCACTGACTACTGTCAGTATCTACTGTAATAAATACACATAATAAAGTGGATATGTAAACTTTGTAAAGTTCTGAGAATATTTCATGGAAAAACATTTAAATGACGTATGTGACTTTGGGTCACAGATAAAGGCATATATATTTCTTTGTTACAATATGTACAATGATCATTTAGAAAGAAAATGTATAATTGGGGCCAGGGATTTAGCTCAGTGGCACCATGACTGCCCTGAAAGGGAAAGGTCCTAGGTTCGATCCCAGGTATGGGGTGGGGAGAGAGAAAATGTATCACTCACTTAAATTTTCAGATGTGACCATGAATTCTTCAACTTCATCATCAGAATCATCTATTAAGGGCATGAAGGCGTACCTATATGAAAAACAAGGAGCACTCTCACTATGTTTAAACTCGTTCAATTTTCAGTTTATCTCTAAAATAATCACTGTACATATTTTGAAACAAACATTTTAAAAGTTTCTTATACATTAAAATAAAAATTTAATTATTTTACTTTCAAATTAGCCAAAATTGTTATCAAACTATCAAACTGGAGCTCTCAAATCCTGCTGGTAAGAGCAAAATAGGGTAAAATCTTTTTGGAAAGCAATTTCCCAATATATAACCTTCAGGGAAGGGAAATTTCAGTTGTACTTTCTCCAGGTCAAGCTTACCTCCCTGTCAAACACATTTCAGCTTATTCCCTAATCAATGAGAAAGTGCTAATCTGCTTGATGAAAAATAAAGTCCACCAATGGAGCCACATCTACAAGGTGATCACACTCTGCTCTCAAAAATCTATCAAAGTAAGGTGCATTTGCCTTGCATTACACTAACAAAAGGTTGCCAGGATAGATGTCTGACATTATCCAGAAAGCATAGCTGATAACAGTAAAAATCCAGAAACAAAATGTCTATTAAGGACAGCTTATATAAATGACTATACTCTTGTAATGTTATATAGCTTTTAAAATGTGGTGGCTCTGCACATGATGATATGGAAAGATACATTTTAGAGAGGAAGCTAGAGAACAGTGTAGGTATGTATATAGGTATGTATGTATATATTATTAGTAGTACATATTTTTTCATTTTTTCCTATTAGAAACTCAATTCTTATCACTTCTCGGCCTTTTGGCTAAGATCAAGTGTAGAAACTCAAGTCTTTCCTTGAGGAAGAAAGTGAGGCAAGAGAAAGTAGGGAATCCCTTTAACAGTCTCAATACAAGTCTGAAATACAACTTTCTGAACTTGGCATTTAAGCCCTGTACTGCTTTGGCACCACCTTTCCTAGTTTTATCTCCCTCCAATATCAGTACAGATTAAGCATTCTAATCCCCAAATCTAAAACTGTTTTAGTATTATGTTAGTGTCCAAAAAGTTTCAGATTCTGGAGCATTTTGGATTTCAGATTTTCAGACTATGGCTAATCAACCAGTAGTTATGCAAATATCCCCAAATCTGAAGCACTTCTGTCCCAAGTATTTTTTTTTTTCTTTTTTGTGACATGTTCTTGCTATTTAGTCCAGGCTAGGCTGGCCTTGAACTCCCTATGTAGCCCAGGCTGGCACTGAACTCCCAGCAATCCTCCTGCTTCAGCCTCCCAAGTGCTGGGCTAACAGGTGTGTGTGACCACACTCAGCTGTCTCACATATTTTGGATAAAGGATATTCAATCTGCAGTTGCAGCCAAACCTTACACCTCATTGACCTCAAAAAGTAAACCAGGAGGGCCGAGGAGTTAACTCAATGGCACCATGCCTGCCTGGCAAGAGCAAAGTCCTAAGTTCGATCCCCGATACCAAAAAAAAAAAAAAAAAAAAGAATAAACCATGATATACCGTCCCACTAACCCAGAGAATATAAATGTGTTCCCAGCTCAATCTTTCACTGTCCTACTCCCTTATTAAAGATATAACACAAATGCTGCTTGCTCGTGGAGTATTTCATATCCCTCTTCCACCCAACCCTGGACTGATTTCCACATCTCTTTCACTGTCCTGCATTTGATATGTTTGTTTCCCTACTCGACTATACTCAGCTGAAAAGCAAAAACTACTTCACCAATTTCTATAAATGTGCTTCTGACACCGCAGGTGGTTGTTCATAAACATCTCTCAACTTAAATTTTCCTGTGTTAGGTACCTCTGATTATTTGCAGATGGTCTCCACAAAAACATTATTACAATAAGGATAAGTGAGAAAAGGAAGCTCCAAAATGCATCCTCAACCCAGAGTTCCATCCAATCCTAAAATAAGGACAAATGAAAAAAATTATGTTCTATAAACATATGGCTTTCCCATTCAAACAGTATACAATGACAAGTATGAATGACATCTCTCCCATCAAAAAGACTCCCAAGTAAACAAGTTGTTTTTTTTTTAAAGGAAATCTATATTGTTTGTAATGTTTCTAAAAGGCTCCCTATTGTTACAAACATCCCCTTCCACAAAAGTTTAGGGTTAACAAAAAGATTTAGCAAACAAAATTCCAAAACATATATTTAGAACTTCAAATAGAAAATAACTACAACAGTGGGGCTGGGGATTTAGCTCAGTGGTTTTGCCGCCTGCTGCACAAGCGCAAGGACCCGAGTTCGATCCCAAGTACCCAAAAAAAGTGCCGCCTGCTGCGAAAATAACTACAGTGAGGAGAGAAGAAAATGAAATTCCAGAAAGGCTCAACCTCTTCTCTTACTGAATTGTTCCCAAGGCAGCAGCTCAGGACTGCCACAGGGCGCTTTGCGACTAAACAGAACAGAGAACTAGCTCTCAATCTCAGGAATGCCCTCAAAAAGGGTCTTTCATACTTTAAGTCTGAGAAATGTATTTTCTTCCAATTAGGGAGCCCAAAGTGAATATCTCCCAAAGTCCACACTGCAGTGTGTATGCAATCACAGAAACATGCCAGTCTTAAGGTTTTCAGTCCCATTTAGGAAAAAAACAAAAAACAAAACAAAACAAAAAAACCTGGCTGGGGGGAACAGCTAAGTTGTAGAGTGTGTGCTTAGTATATACAAGGTGCTGGGGATTGAACCCAGCACCAAAAAGGAAGAAACAAACACACAAATGACACAAAACCACTCAATTTCATAGTGTGCAGGAAGAAAAAGCTTTTCTCTTACTCCATTTACCTATTTCTTTTTTGTGGTATTAAAAATTCAACCCAGGTCTCATATATGCCAAGCAGGCACTCTGACACTGAGCTGTATCCCTGGTCCCTTCCTGTTGTTTTAAACTACACAGGAAGAGAATTCTTTTTCAAAGTAGGTAGAAAGTTGAGAAAAAGGCATACAGGAAAAGGAGATTTAAGAAGACATTTTCATATTCAGTTTATAACAGAGGAAAAAGTTTTGGTTGAATCTAGATAAAAATTGTTCAAAGGAAGAGGAAAATCATTAAAATTACATATGTTCACAAATAAAAAGCCTTCAAAACTTCACAAAATAAAACAATATAATCAACCATGAAGATGTTACTTACAGATTGGCATTTTGCAATTCTAAATGTCTTAGTTGTCCACACCATAAACACTATAGAAGCTGAAAGACATAAAAGTCATCTTTGAGGGAATATGCAATACTGAAATAATTTTTTATAATAAGAAAAAGTAAACAGCTTACCTAGCACAGCAAAGATGAGAGTATTTGTAAAGTGCCTATATAAGGAAAATTTCACTGTGTTTTTTCTTAGTCTTAAAGTCTTCATAGTTTGTGCCAAACTTATAAAAATGTAAAAAGAGTTAAGGAAAAAACATTTTAAATAGTAATGAATAATTTTTTAAAAACATAAGTATCTTCTACAACATTTCCAAGGTTAGTATTGCTAAATACAGTTCCTACATTTTGAAGCTGGTAACACAGAAAATGCTACCTTTATACCAATAACATATAATCATGATATATTACACAGATTTTGCTTTATAATTTACCACTGTCTGAAATAAATGAACAATCTTCCAGGACAAAAATGTCAGCAAGATCTGTGATGTGTCCTTCAAGGCCAGGCTCTAGGACACAGGACTGAATAGTACACATCATTTGACCTGTGCTTTTCGGTTTCTTTCTTTCCCTTTTTTTTCTAGTCTTTTTTCTGAATGGCCATAATTAAGAGGTTAGGCCATCTAATAATTCTATTTTATAAATTAAAAAATTGGAATATGCCAAACAAACCTGAACTTGAGTAGGGACAGACTGTACTAGTGATTACCGCAATGGGGGAATACTAGGACTCAGGCCTTCAAGAGTCTCAAGGGCCAGAAAGGAGCAGGCTTGTGAGAGGTGGTGGTGTGACTCCCCGATCAGCTCTCCTGGAGGTCTGCGGGTTCCCAAGGAGCTCGTAAGAAGAGCTCTGTGCTGGCTCAGGGAGATGGGGGTCAAAGTTCAAGGCCCAGGGAACCAGGGAAGGAGAAAGCTTGACATTTGCTCATTAGTATTTTGTCCAGATTGGCCAGCAGATATAAAAGGCTCAGTTAGTCATGCAGGAGGCAGAGAATGGGCAACTGGAGGGTCTGTGTCTGACTTTGTCACAGGTCCTGCGCCATCTCAGAGGCTAAGCCCAGTGAGGAAGGTGCTTCTTTGGAGTTACCTTTCCCCAGAACAGAAATGGTGAGGGCTATCTCAACCATGGCTGCTCTCCAGGAGCACAGGGCTCAGGTAAAGAACACTGCCAAGTTTGAATAAGCACAAAGAGACTTTTTCACTGACTCCTCAGTAGTGAAGGGATTCAGGCCAGATCTCTTGTAGTTTTTGTTTTTTCTTTTTGGTTCAGGGGATTGAACCTAGGGCCCTTACACTGAGCTAAATCACTAAGATGACCAGGCTGGGGTTAAACTTGCAATCCTCCTGCCTTAGCCTCCCAGAGTGCTGGGATTATAGGTGTGCATCACTATGGGCCAGCCCAGACCTCTGTTCTTAAATGCAAGTTCCCTTTTCTGGAGCAGACCAACAGGCTTTAGTTATTTGTGAACCAAACATTGGCAATAATAGAGCTGGGCAAAAGAACAGAAATGGCAAGTTTTACATTGATGCTTATTTTAAGTTCTAAATATTTCATTAATCAAACCCTTCGTTTTCACTCAAAATCTACTTTACAAAGGCCGAGGATTTAGCCTACTTTGCAAGCGCAAAGTCCTGAGTTCAATCCCCAGTACCCCCCAAAAAAATCTACTTTACAAGACTGTTTTTCAATCTTTGTAAATGACCAGTAAGTTGCAAAGGAGATCAATTTGTAAGGTAACATAAGCCAACCAGGGGTACTGTTGGAACTTACAAAATGCAAAAATGCCTTATTCTTAAACATATCAAGATTTTTAAAAATAGCTGGTTGTTTTTTTAACTGTTCAAAAATGTTTTTTTAAAGCCAAGGAATAAGAACATCAAAACCAAATTAGAAACTGCCTAAGCCTTCACTTACCAAGACACTGTCACAGTTAGGTGAAGTTTAAATCATTCCTCCCATTAGAGAAAGCAGTGACGAGAACAAACAGACTCCTCATCCTGAGGGACAGCCAGTGCGCATGCTGCTGCAGTAGGAAAAGGATATCCACCAGCACAAGCCAGAGTCAAGGAGAGAGAGAGGGAGGCTGGCCAGAAGAACAAGATCAGAGTCACTCGCCTGCAGCAAGACAGCAAAAAAATAACAAGCAGGAAAAAAGGGGAGGTGACACATTGAGAAAAGCTATGGCTTTTGCATTTTCCAGGCTATTTTTTCCCCTGCTCCTTTAGAGTTAGAATCTTACAGGATTAGCTAAATAAATTGAATTCATCAAAATCGAAGGAAGCAGGGTAATTACCTAAAGCAGTCAATTCTGTATGTATCTATCTCTGCTTCTTTTGCTTGCCATTTGCAATCATTTAGGAAACGCACTATTTTTTTTCCTTGTACAGAGAAAGCAGACTTTTCACCTTAGTAATTAAAATTATAGATAGCAATCTGAAGGCAAACTCCACATATTAAGAGTCAAGCAGATTTTCTTTCTCTCATCATGAAACACTAACCAAGATAATTTTAATGTCTGGATTTCATTATGATTATTAAGCAAATTAAATCCTTCCTCTTGCTTTCCTGGACTCCCCACTGAGATCTGACTTATCATGTACTGGAATGTACCAAAGTCAACAGTGTCCACAGGGGTGATAAACTGCCCTCACCAAGAGCAGAGGAAACTGGAAACTGCAGAGTTATCTTCCTTTGGAATTTTCTGCCAAGTTGCACCCTAGGTGTTTTTCAAATGAACTGCCTTGTATATGGTTAAGAACAAGAAATTCCTGAAACAACTATCTATAAATTACCAGGAGAAAACATTGTATAAATTTTTTTAAATGCAAAGCCTACATTTCAATGAATTGTTTGGCTCCTTGACTTGTCAAAAGCAGCAAGCACAGGGCCGGGGATTTAGCTCAGTGGTTCTGGCGCCTGCCGCGCAAGCACAAGGTCCTGAGTTCAATCCCCGGTACCAAAAAAAAAAAACACCAAGCACACACACAATTTTAGAAAGGAGAAAACCTTAGGCTCATTTTCTAAACAAATGGCAAGGCATTAAGATCTAGAGATAGTGTGGGCATGGTGGTGCACACCCATAATTTTAGCACTTGGGAGGCTGAGGCAGGAGTATCACCATGAGTTTGAGGCCAGCCTGGGGTACAGTGAATTCAAGGTCATCCTGAACTACAGAGCGAGACCCTATCTCAAAAAAAAAGATCAAAGAAAATCTAGAGGTACTAATGCTGAAGGCCAACAGTCATTTTTATCTCCACTGCAATCTGCCAGCCCAATCCCCAATGTGCTGGTCCTTTCTGTCCATTCCTTTCACAACAGGTGAGTGCCCCCAACACAGACCCTGGGGATCCATAGCCTTGCAGGCTGATCACTGTTCACATGCAGAATCAAGGAATATATTCAGGAACTGCATTTTTTTAAAGTGTCTTCTAATAGAAAAAAACATGAAAAGAAGATACCACTTTCTGAGAAGAGCAGATTTATTTAATTACAATTTAGTCAATAAATCTGGGCTCTAAACTTACAGCTCTGAACAGAAGGACAAGAGTTTTAAGTACAGTCACAACCAACTTTTAAAATCTCATGTTAAAAAAAATTAAGTAAAATTACATATTATTTTTTAACAATGCTCTCACACTGAGAGGGTACACGGATATAAATCAGGAGGTCTTTAGTGGCCCCTTGTGCACAAAACTCCTCGTGTGAGCTGTGCTCTGTGAAGGGAGGCACTATAGCAGTCATTAGATTTTCAAAGGCATTTCTAACCCCAGTGCTCAAACAAGGTTAAGAACCATGAGCAATGATAATTCATCAAAAGTTCGCTGTTCTTTTACTGTGGGAGCACACTGAGAATTCACCAATGGGGAACTGAAAGCATAGGTAGGCCAGGCATAGGAAACAGCCTGTTTGCACACTGCACACCTGCAGAGGGGAAACCTCTCTATGAAGAAAGGAAACAGCAAGTTCAAACCCACTGGCCCTTCTTGAGAGATGCACATGTGAGAACATAGAAAGAAATACAAGGAAGGCAATAAAAGAAAATTCCACCTCAAAAGATGAAAGTACCAAAGATAGTGGAAACAAAAAGAACATAGTAAAATAAGAAATCTACGTAACAGGAAAGAGTTCTGATGATGACACAGAAAATAATGTTCTGAGACATGCATAACCTGTGTTCTGCTCTAACCAAGTCACATTTTCTCTACAATTCTCCTTTCCACCAGGGCCACCATGAAAGAAAAAAAAAAATCACAGGATCTCCTCACATTTGGCTTAAGTCACTGAGCCAGACAGGAGGCCCCAGTTAACACTGCCTCCAAAGCCGCTCCTGCTGTAATACCTCCAGATGCTGCCTTCCCTGAGCCTGCCTGTGGATGCCTGCTCCAACCTGCAGAAGGATAGGAACTGGTGTAGGTGGGGCTGGCTCTGCAGCACTGGCCAGTCTGACCACTCCCTGCCCGACTTCCTGTGCACCCCATGGTAGTCTGCTGGTTCTTCCATCTCCCTTCATACTGGTGTTCTTTCCAGGTGCTTCCTCCTCCCCATGACAGCATCATCCTGGCTCCTCTCCACTGACTGGCATGTTTCAGTTGGGTCCTTCCACAGCAGCAGCCTTCTCCATTCTACACATGATCTCTGACGTCCAACTCCAGCTCCGACCCTCTCACAAGCCCAGGATGTGGTTTCTAACTCTCTTTCTCACATTAACACCCTGGGTAGCCCAAACCTCATCCATCACTGTCCCTCCAAGCTTCCCACCCAGAGAATGGCACCACTGCCCCAGCTACTCCAATGAGCCATGCCAGATCTCTCTGGAACCACCTGTCTCTGGCAAGTTTGTCATTTGGATATTTTCCCCCATTTCATCACTGTATTTCTGACCCTTATCGTCTCTTCTTTATACTTCTGCAAGTGACTCCTTGCTGGACTACCTTTAGTCTCTTCTTGCCACTTCTGTGTCATACTGGAGTTCTCTGCCACAGACTCCATCATGTCACACACACACAGCTTCCTTTCCTCTCTACTTTCAAATTCAAAACCCCAAACATGCCATTCCACCTTTCCCTTCCAGTCCTACCTGCCAGAATTCTCTAGGAATGCCACATTTGGTCACTGCTAGATCTTCATGCTTCCAATACTTGCTCCCCTCAGTTCTTCCCACATTACCTTTTCCCCACTTCTCTTCCTAGTAAACTGTTCTTTTGGCTCAGCTTAAATTTTATCACCTCTGAAGTCTTTCCTGATTTTTACACCAGAATTAATTTCTCCCTTACCTACCTCTATTCACACAACACCACTCTAAAATGGCAAATATAATTGCTGTATTGTTGTAAGTTATATATGTGTCTCTTCTGTCAGGTTGTGAATTCTTTAAATGCAGGGACAATCTTTTTCATCTGTGCCTTATTAGTGGGAGGCAGATATTGAGCACTTAAGTATTTGGTGAACTTAAAGACAGATATTCCTCATTTGGGGAGTTACTACTTTTTTACCTTCAAATAAACTATTTCATCCTGTCATTATTACATGTTAAAAATAATCTGATTTTAATGATGGAATAAACTTTTTTGGAAACACAAAGTAAAGGATATAAACCATACAAAAATAGAGTCAATAACTGCTAAAATAATGTCACCCAAAACAACACCTAAATGTTTAGAACCCTGAAAGACAAAAATAGGGGGAAAACCTGATTGTAAAAGTTTATTACAGGACAGCAATTATTTGATGAAGAAAAACAATTTAGCTTATTTTATCACTCTACAATGCCACATAAATGATTGTGTTTAGCACATAAAAATTACCTGTTTTGGTAACAACAAATGCTAATGTGTCATTGACTTATTAGATCCTAGTAATATAAAACTACTATGGACTGCCAAATAAAAAGCCTCATGTCCCCAGTCTCACTTAGGCCAACCATTTCAACTTTTCCTTCTTCACAGCCAGGACTACTAAGGACATGGACTCCCGACCTCCCCATTCTTGTTGTGAAGGCACACAGGAAAAAAAGTAAAATAAGGGAGGGGAACTGTGCAGAAGGGCAAACTGTAGATTAGACATTTACTCTGACTGGTCATATTAAAAGTCACTAAGATGATATGTAAATTTTCTAAAAAATACAATGCATACACTATATTTATATGTGAAGTACATATCTTTTCTATTTTCTTTCTAGCAAATGTTCACTTTCTATGAAATATATATGCAAAGCTCTTCATGATTATGTAAAAATAAGCAAACACAGACTGAAAGAACAGATATATGATAGAGAATGCAGATTTATCAAGGACCACAGAAAGAGGAATACAGTTTTGATGTTACTGAAAAAAATATCCTGTTTTAAACCAGGTCAAAATATGTTAAGTAAATCTATGTGGCAACATATAGACTAATCACTCTGTGAACAATGACTTGATTTATACAATGAATCCAAAAGACACTGTGAAACAGGTAAAGTTCTTTGAAACAGCTGAGATAATGTTCTCAATCATGTATTAAGAAAACTCAAAGCTAGAAATCTAGGGGTCCTTGCAGACATAAAAATGAACACTCCCCTAGAGAGCAAAGTGCTGCTGCCCATAATACCAGAGGCTTCTCTCCTCAAACACAATCTCTGCCTGCATCTCCCAACAGTAGGGGATGTGGAGTCCCCAAGGTCCAAGTCCATAAGAATCAGAGCAAATTTATAACTAAATGAGCAGTAGAAGACTGATGCAGTGTAATGTTTACATGCCTGAAGACATATAATTATCTAGTGTAATTAACTTTGTTCACCTGATACCAGGATAAAGAACTATACAGAACGACAGAAACAAATGTTTTTATCACAACAACAGAACATTTCTGGGATGGAGTCAATTCCAGAGATGATACCAGGTAGAGCCTTCTCAAGCAATCATACCATTTGGAGAAGCACTCTGTCTCTCTTTTTCCTTCAGGAAGTATTAAGGGAACTACCCCATAGGAAAAAAAACTCAACTTGGATCTTTTTCCTAAATTTCTAGATTTAAAAATATCCTCTCAGGAGATATATAGTAAGATCACATTTCATAGCAACAAAAAAAGGGGTGGTAGTGGAATTAGTGTAGTTTTACCCCAATGACTCTCATCACGCCTTCAATGGCTGCAAAGATAAAGTAAAGCAGTCCCAGTCCAATGACCCGGTGCATGACTGTCCCCAGCCGAGGCCTGGAGTGAAGAAAAGGAAACAGGAGAAAAGAAAAAGCACAGGTAAGTACAGTGCACTGGAACCCAGCACCCTTTCCAGGGAAGTCACTATTTAACCCAATCAATCTGCTTGTGCCTTGGCAGTACTTCATCACAGAAAACAGTGGCTTTCCTGAGAACATAGCAGAAACAGGCTCAGGAACCACAGATCCCTTCTTCTAGGATAAGAAGCTGTGGATGCCTGTGGAGCAACTCGGTGAGGTGACAAAGACGGCAGAAGATTTTGCTACTGAAGTTCAAGCCCTATAACAAACAGGCACTACTTCTACAGTGGAAGGATAAGTTGGTGAAACTTACAAAGGCAAGGGCTACCAGGGCAGAGATTACAACTAAATTCTGCCACTAATGTTAACCATAAACTGCTCTAAGTCAAGTCTTGTTTTAGGTAATCCATTGATCTGAGGACTCAGGCAGTAGAAAAGAGTAGAATATGAGATGGAACTTCAGTACTTCCCCTCTGATCACTGCCTCCACCACTCCACCCACAACAGGAGGGCTAACTGAATTTAGTTTTCATAAACTGAAAATTCTGACTCTTCAGGAGCTTCAGGGTCAAGGACACAAAATAAGCAAAGCTCCTACATCATGTGAGTGGGCAGGGGGTGAGACAAATAAATACTAACATCTATCAGGTGGCATAATAAAAAGTTGAGGGGACAGACTGTCAACAGTGTATTGTTGGGAATCCTGATAGGACTAGCCTCTTTTGGAGGTGACAGTGGAGCAGAAACCCAAAGCAAGTGAGAAAGAAGTGTGTTTGGGATCAGGCAAAGGAATTCACACAAATGAGAGAGCTAGCAGGACGGATTAGTGTGTCCACAGGAAGAGTGGCAGGAGATGAGGTCCTTTCAGGACAGCCTCAGAAGTGAAGGTGGGAAGGACGGTTTTACTGACCAAAAGGAACAGCCAATTAGTAGGAGCAGTGTTACTCTTGAAAAGGATCATCTCGCCACTGCTGTGTTGCAAGACTAGCAAGAGCGGAAGCAGGAAACTAGAAACTTGGTAAGAGCCAACTGAAGTGGTCCTGCTACTGGAAGGTGATCAATCCTTTGACTTGCCTAGAATGGGGGATGGTGAGGGCTAAAAAAAGACAACAGAGACCTGTGTAATTTCAAAGTATGGGGTGGGGAGTCAGTGCCTCAGAGCCAGCAAAGACAAAGACACTCCGAGATTGCCACTATTTATTGGGTTCACAGGGAGTATCCGATCATTCAGAGAGAGGCAATAATCCCAAATTGACAAGGATCTTATAATCGGAGGAAGTATCAGATGTCTCAGAGGGTGTTGGTAATCCTATGATCTTATGCTGATGAGGAGCTTGTGCTGATTAGGATGGTAGGATGAGCAAAAACATTCTTACAACATTAGGTAGGATGAGTTAAGCTGATAATGACTTTGTCCCTCCCCAGGTGAAACCTCTTTTTGTATTACTACTTGGGTCTCAAAGAACCAGGATGTCTTCAGCTGATATAATCTTGCCCTTGACCTGCACAGTATTACGGGAGCTTGGGGCCTGGGCTATGACCAGAGGCAAAATGGAGTTGTGTTTTTATATGTCATAGCTGGCTGGCAGGCAAGAAGACTAGGCCTCAAACAGCCCTAATAATAATTTAATTGTGAAATGATTTTTTCCCCAAAAATTATGTAGAATGGTTTCTGACACTGGAGGGAGAAGATGGTGGTTTGGCCAGGGTGGCACCTGTGGATAGGATGGGAAGGCTTCTTCTGGATGTGTTCTGAAGTTAGGGCCATGGAACTGGCTGAGAGGGCCCCAGGAGTATTATTCACAGGGCAGGGTCCGAGGCCTGAGTGGGCCACTCCAAGGCTGGGTCTCAGAAGATCCAGCAGAGAAGACCGGGAAGGAGCAACCAGTGACATAAGTCAGAAATAGGAGATGAACTCCTAGAAATCAATCAAAGCCAGGTTCCATGACTGAAGCTGTTGGGAAGGCACCTGGGCCAAGGCTGGGCAAAGTCAAGGAGGTCAGGGCGAACACAATCAGCGCAGCCTCAATGGAGCTACAGGGCAAAACCTCCAGGGTATATGCAAAAGAGAAAGAGGGAGGTGAGGTGGCAAGCAGGACTCATCTGGAAAGGTATGCTGCACATGGTGAAGGAAATAGAAGCAAAGGAGAGGGTGGGGCTCAGAAAGGGCTTTGTTTTTAAAGATGGTAGAAATAACAGCAAACTGAAAGCAACTCACCAGAGGAAAACTTACAATGTAAGAGAAAAAAAGTGACCACTGGGGCAGTTTCATTCACCGACATGACAAGGCACAAGTGCAGGGATGGCCTATGCCTAGTGAGAGGAGTAAAGCACCGTGTAAGGCCCAGACACAGGAATAGTGACAGGATCTGAGGATAGCACTGCAACAGCACTCACTGATGGCTTCTCCATCCTCAGAGAAAAAGGAACTAAGGTCAGGGGGGAGGAATGGGGGCAGGGGCTGAGCGGTTTGAGGAGAAGGGGTAAAATCATCTTCTGCGAGAGAAAGAGGGAAAAAAATCTGGTGAGGAAATCTAATAAAACTTCTGCAGTACCATGGGTACACTTGAAGATCAGGGTCATGAACTAAACATAGCCCTGGGCAGTGTGGTCCAGGGTTCTCTCAGGGCCCTGTGGTGTCTGAGGCAAATGGAAAGCTGGGACTGGCTGGGACTATGTCAACAAGGTGACCAAGGCAGGGCATTGGGTATCAGAATCCTGCTGGACTAAGGAAATGAAGCTAAAGGAAGAAGGTGAAGACATGACATGGAAAGGGATAGCAGAAGGTACTAGGCCAAAAATGACTGAAGCTGATCTGAGAAAAAGTAAACAGGAAACAGAGGATGGGACACTGAAAAAAGTATTGCTCAAGATGGAGATTATGAAACGAGGGCACCCTAGAAAGGCCATGAGAATCAGGAGTTGAAACGAGGTGAAAGGTGAGGAGTGAGGCAGGAGATGCGAGCCTGTAGTCAGGATGCCCGCACAGACAGGGTAGTGCCAGGGAGAAAACAATTATGTAAGTGTGCAGGGAGAAGGGCTGAGGGAGCCAGGAAGCCCTCAGATGACAGAGAAAAAGGATGCAGCAGATGATCCTTCGGCAGGCTAGAGCATGTGAGAATCAGCAGGTTTTAGGGAAGGAGGAAGAACAATGGTGTGAAAAGAGCACCGAGGATAAAGAGGACAAGATCCATCTGGAAGGGTCCAGAAAGTGGGGCCTCCAGGGACAGCCAGATTCCAGTCAGAAACCCTGCTGACTTGGTGTTTAATCAAGTCTCCCTGCAACACTCAAATGCAACTACAAAAGCTTACTGTACTACCTACAAAACTGAAAACAAATCCGTTTCAATGTAAAGAGTCATTTTATATTTTGACTATTCACCTAACTATAAAAGTTATTGGAATTCAAATTCAAGATCTTTATTTGGAGTTAATATAGCTAGTACACGGACATTTTTTTTTTTTTGGTACCGGAGATAGAACTTGGGTCCTTGTGCTTGCGCAGCAGGCGGTGAAACCACTGAGCTACATCCCCGGTCCCATGGACATATTTTAAAAATACATTCTTAAAGATTTTTCTCGGGCTGGGGATGTAGCTCAGTCATACAGCACCTACCTGGCAAGAATGAGGCCCTGAGTTCGATTCCTGGTACCAAAAAAAAAGATTATTTCTCTTAGGATTTGTCTTTTGATGCGAAGTTTCACCAAGGTCATAATGCAGATGGGCTGAATCACTAGACTAGAGTCTTCGTATCTTCACCATACACCAATACTTACTTCACAATGCCATAGCCCAGGCTCACAATGATCACAAGCAGGCGGGCCAATGTCCTCTTTATTGCAGATATCAACTCCGCAAATATCAACAGACCTTGGGCTGAATTTGAGAAAAAATAATTTACTCCCAACCAAGATTCTAATCAGGCACTAAGTACCACTACATTCTGACCTCAGACCAATTAGCCATACTTAGAAGTCATCTAATCCAGCTGATGTTTGGAAACTTCAAGGAAGGTGAATTCACTACCTCCTGCAGATTTCACTGCAAATCCAACCAGTTCCACTGGACACAGCTTTCTCACATCAACCCAAAACCTGTCTCTCTGAGCTCCCCTCTGCTTGCATCTTCCCTTTGAGGCTACACAGAACTGTACCCTTCTTCTTGTCCTGTAAATATTTGCAAACCATAATATCCACTGAGTTCTCCCTTTTCCAGGATGCCTTCATCATTAGCTCATGTAAAGTGGATTCGCTAGTGAGAGATTACTTGCTTGGCATGTGCCAAGCCCTAGATTCAATCCCTAAACCACAAAAAACCAAGCAAACAAAAGTACTCATTATGCTCCTACTATGTGCCCATAATAGTAATTGACCCCTTGATCTCTGTCTACTGAAACTTGGACTCTGCTTAGGCCATGTAAATAGAACTAATGTGCTAAGCACTAGATGTAACACAGTAACCCAGACTAGGAGGAAAGTCAGCCTACATTCTGGGAAGGTGCAAGCAGGTCCAAAAAAAGCTAACAAAAAGTGACATGTAAATCAGGACTTGAGAGTCAGTCATGATGGTGCAAGCCAGATGTCCCAGCTACTGGGAAGACTGAGGCAGGAAGATTACAAGTTCGAGGATAGCCTGGGCAACTTAATGAGAGCCTGTCTCAAAATAAAAAATAAAAAGAGCTGGAGTTGAATGAAGCTCAGCAGTAGAATACCCTTAGGCTGAATCCCCAGTTCTAAAAAACAAAAAACAAAACAGATCAGCATTAACAGCAAAAGAAGTGAATACCTTCTCTGATATCTGAGGATGGTTCAACCCCAAGAAGCAGACCCATTTTTTTCATTATCTGATTTAGAGCACATGTGCACACATGCATAAAACTTACAGAGTAGTAACACCTCCACTTTGCTCCCCAGGATGTTTGCCCTTTCTTTATTCTTCCATATGTGCAGTGGGAGAAATAAGTATAATGAATTCCCATGAATCTAACGCCCAGCTTCGATGATTATCAACATTATCACAAACTGATTTTTGTCTATACTTCAACTCACTTTTTTTCTGAGGTATTTAAAAATAAAATCTATTGAAAATCTATATCAAGCTCCTTTGTAACTGGTCACTCAGAAGTACAATTTTAGTGCACTATGAGCCCTTTTGAGCTGTCTCCCTTACCAAAGTTTTAACAGTGGAACAGAACCTTTACTTCTCTGGCCTTTTTGAGATCTAGCTTGGAGAAATCAGGGGAACATATCTGCAGATCCCCCCATGTCACACATTCCACTGCGTAAACTGTGAGGGTGCCACCCCTGGTCACATGAAGCTCTTGCAATAGTGAAGGGAGACAGGATGCAACCATGTGGGAACATCCATGTGGTGCCACTGATTTTTGGTCTGTGCCCAGATTTTCCTTTTCTCTTTTAGAGAAAAGAAAAAAAGATGAGAGGATAAAAGGAGAAATATTAAAAGGATTGACCATACCTGAAGTGCCTCTGTCTAGAACCTTGTGTTGTTTTAATCACAGCTAAGCCCTAGGGAATAAGAATTCTTTCTCAGGAGGAAAAGCAAGGGGGAAGTTGGCAAGAAGAAAAATAGAAAACAAAAAGAATATACATGCTCGTCCAGATAAGGACTACACTGACATTCTCTTCTTGGCATCACTCCTCTTCACCTGTGAGTATAATATAGACACTGCCAAACCACTGTATAAAAGAGGACCTCCCACAGCTCTGCTCACTGATGCTAAGAAACTCCTACATCGTACTCTATTTAGAGACAGTCAAAACTTACTTGACAGTCCAGTGTTGTTGATGTTTTGGTATTCAGAATAAAAAACTGCTTTTTCAAGCATTCCTAGGAAAATAACAGCTGCAATCCAGAATTGTATTCTTAATATATCTTTCCAGTAACAGGCAGACCACATCAGCCAGAGCACACCATACAATATATAAACAATACACATCACCATGTAGAACTGTAGGAAGAGAAGCAATATTAGTCAAACGTTTTGATCATTTGAAAGTTGACATTTCTAAATTTAAGAATCAGTCCTCTATTTTCTGCTCACTCTGGAGCCAAATATATTATTAGCTATGAAGAGATTTTTATTACCAAGTTATTAAAATTTTAAGTTTATCAATTAGAATACAAAATTCATTTTAAAAAAGGAAAAAAGGCCTGAGGCATAGTTCAGGGCTAGAATGCTTGCTTACCATATATGAAGCCCTGCATTCCATCAACAAAACAAAAAAGAAAGAAAAGAAAGGAAAAGAAAAGAAAGGAAAAGAAAAGAAAGGAAAAGAAAAGAGAAGAGAATACTTACAATCATTAGAGGCCAATCTGATGCAGAGATATATCCATGAGGCCCCATCATAGAAAGAGAAACTGGTGACAGCAGTAGGGAGAAGAAATGAAAGAGTTAATTTTAACCTACACATGAGGTACTGGATAATTATGTAATCTTATCAAGATCTATTTACGCATATGCAGACTGTTGTAAAGACCTGCAGGGACTCCCATCTTATACAGAAAGAAACTAATACTAATTATCAAACTAGATCCCAGACTGGCCCTCTTGCTAATTCACTGATCTCACTGAGGACCTTCTCATCCATAAGGCAACTTGGGATAAATCTATGACCCCTGAGAAGCCAATAATGAGTATGCAGGTCAGGCAGGGCTGGGCAATGAACAGCTAGCTACATCAGCCATCCAGCAGAGACTTAGAATTGCCTGCTGGCACAAGGGCAAGGGCCCAATACCTGGGAAAGAAAAGTACACAAAACTAGTCCAAATGTCCCTCAAATTCACATGCTGAAACCTAACCCCTATTGTGGTGGTATTAAGAATTGTAGCCTTGTGCTGGGAACACAGCTCAGTGATAAAGCACTTCCTACCACACATGAAGCACTGGGTTCAAGCCACAGCACAGCAAAAAAAGAAAAAAAAAAAAGTGAGGCTTTTTGGAAAGGCCCTCGTGAACACATTCTTTTTTTTTTTTTGGTACCAGGGATTGAACTCAGGTCCTTGTGCTTGTGCAGCAGGCGGCAAAACCACTAAGCTAAATCCCGGCCCATGAATGCATTCTTATGAAAAGGCTGGAGGGAAGCAGATTAGGTCCTTTTTACCTCTTTCACCACCCTCTATGTGAGGACATGATGTTCATTCCCTTTTGCTCTTCCCCCATTTCTGCCACATGAGGACACAGTTCATGGGACCACCCTCGAAGCAGACGTGGGACCCTCACCAGGCACCAGGGACCAAACCTACCAGGACTTTCTGAAATTTCCAGGCTCCAAAAGTCTGTTCTGTATAAACTACCTGTGTTGGGTATTTTGTTATAGCCCAGTAATGGGATAGTGTCAAGGTCCCTGCTCCCTCTATTTGGGAGTCTTCAAGAGGAAATGCTCAGTCACTCTTCCAGAGTGGCCACCACCACAGCCTCCCTCCCTGTGCTGTGGAGCACACCGCTCCAAACCCCTGCAGTGGTTGGTGCCTGTTTTGCCTTGTTGGTTTCTGTGCTCCTCTTGGACTGTGCACTGCTCAAAGGCAAAGCCTAGCTTCATCTCTGCGTCTCCAGTGAATGAATCAGAGAAATATGCAAATGACCAGGATTCTCACAGGCTGTTTGGCTACTGCAGGCCCCAACACCACTCTGGACATCAGCCAAAGTAATTCTGGAATCTACGAAAATTACTTATTATAAGCCTGCTGGTGGCAGTGGCTGCTCTGAAAAAGTGTGAAGTAGGGCTTCCTCCTGGAGACTATCCCAAATAGAGGGAGCAGGAACCCTGCCACCATCCTGCAACCTAGCTATAACAAAAATACCCAACAATGGCTCATTATAAAGACCAGAATCTATTAATATGAGAAAATGAAAAAATGGAAACGAAGTCTTTGTAAATAGGGAGGGATGGCGGAGTTGAAGGGAGGGTAGGGGAATGGGGATTTTATTTTTTATTAAAAAAAAAAAAAGACCAGAATCTACAGCTTAATGAGGCCCGAGGGTAGGAGTGTGGGGTGTGGTTCCTCAGAAATCACAGAAGCCACAGCTTGCAGACATGCTATTCCTACTCCTAAGCTACAGTCCTTAAAATAAACTTTACAAATTACAACATCTGAAACCCCCAAAGACAGCTATTTTCAAGAAGGAATATAATCTTCTTCAAATACAATTAAAATGTTGCTTAATCATTTCTGTATGTTAAATTTTTTTAAATCTGAAAGATGGAATATTTTATATTGCATTATGAGGCTTGAAATTATAAAAATTTACATTAAATATATATAATTATTTGTCAACTAAAGTGTTTTTGCAGTACTGGGGACTGAAGCCAGGGTCTTCAAACTTAACTATAACTCCAGTCCTTTATTTTTTTATTTCTTTATTTTTAATTTTGAGACAGGGTCTTACTAGGTCACTAAGTTGCCCGGGCAAGGCTTGAACTTGCAATCTTTCTATCCTAGACTCCAAATGAGCTGAGATGACAGGTGTGTGCAACCATGCCCACCTAGAAATACATTAGTTTCTAAAAAGTTATCTCTGCTAACAATATAAACTTCCATTCATCTAAAAAACTAGTTTTACATTCTCAAAATGTGTCACCTGGGCCGGGGATTTAGCTCAGTGGTTTTGCCGCCTGCTGAGCAAGTGCAAGGACCCAAGTTCGATCCCCGGTACCAAAAAAAAAAAAATGTGTCACCAACAGAAATCCATTTCTGAAAGATATGTTTTTAACAGAAAATGGACATTCAGTTGAATAACGAAATATATAGAACACAAAAAATGCAAACAGTGAACAAATATGCATGCAGTTAACTATACCATTTAAATTCCAGCTGGCATCTGTTTTTTCTGTTTTAATAGAAACAATAAAGATATGAAACCCATCTCTCTGTGTTCTTGCTACAACATCCTGAAATAGAAGGGAAAAACTGTTATTTTCAACAAACTGCTACGTAAGATATAGTTACCCAATTATTGACGACACTGTAAAGTAATTTTTGGTAATTTAATTAGATTACTTTGAATAAACAAAGACACAAAAGAGAGAAAAGGAGTGGTAGAGAAAATAGATAATGCCCCATTTTTTTTAACCACCATCTTCCCAGATCCAGAGGGGTAGAGGAAGAAAAAGGGTCTTCTCTGTCTTCAACATCTTCTACCTTTTATATTTCTATAGGTTCTCCCACATTACTACCACTTCATGTTTTGATATTATCATTCAAATATTGCTCCTCATATATTATCTACTATTATTGAGCATTCAGTTTTAACTACACACGTTTTTTAAACAAGAAAGCTGAGGGACAAGGAAGTCAGTGTTGTAGAAATGAGTCAGACTAAGGACAGCTGCCTCTCAGTGTTAATGGGAGATTGACTCTAGGATCTGCCCCTCAACACACACACCACCCAGCTGATACAAAAATCTACAGATGCTCAAGTCCCTTATGTAAAATTGGATGGTGTTTGCATATAATTTACACACATCCTCCTATAAATTTATCTCTAAATTACTTGCAATACCTAATATAATGTAAATGCTATGCAAATAGTGGCTATATTATTTTTTTAGGGACTAATGACAACAAAAGTCTGTATGTGTTCAGTACAGAATTTTCTTCCCAAATATTTTCGTGTAGTTAGTGTATCTATGGATGTGGATCCATGGATGCAGGCTCAAGGGCCAACATTATGTAGGCTAAATGACTCAAATTTCTTCAGGGACTATGTTATTTGTGGTCCCTCAAAGGAACAAAACTGCCACTGTAGTGTTTATGAGTCTCCAATGGTCCCACATAACTGGACCAAACTTGTCACATTCTACCTTCCTAAATGTTTTCTATTCCTTTCTACTCCATAAAACAGTCTGTGTGAAGTCTGTCCCAGACATTGCAGGGTGAACACCTGCTTGCCATCATCAGATTCGCTTTAGGATGGCTGAAGAAGAAATGTGAAGAGTCACAGGATAAAAGCAAACAATGAGCTCTCCTAAACCTACTTTCAGTCCCTACTAGTAACTCCTTTGGTCTTCTCAGTCCTAGAAATTCCCCAAAATATCAAATTTCCCCCAACCCCACCCACCATACTACTACATTCATGGTTTCTATTTTTATAACTTTAGTGATGACAGTGACCCACTATGTTATCCTACACATTCAGAAGCAGAATTCTATTTTTTCAAGAAAAGAAAGACTGAACAAAAGCTAATTATTTTGTAGACAGAGTCTTATTATATAGTGTAGCCACTCTTGAACTGGCTATATAGACGATGCTGGCTTGAACTTGTGATAACTCCTGTCTTAATTTCCCAAGTACCAGGAATACAGGAATGCACCATCACCCTAGAAGTTAATCTTATAATTTGAAAGAGATATTGAAATAAGGCAGTCATATATTTACAACATTATATATACAAAATTTTTGTATATATGTACATATGTATATGTGAGAAAACATTGTTTTAAATAGTTTAGTCCTTTTTTTTTTTTGGTACCAAGGATCGAACTCCGGTCCTTTCCGCTTGCAAGGCAGGCAGGGGAACCACTGACCTAAATTCCCAGCCCTCTTTTCCAATTTTAATAACCCCTACAATTCTGTCCATTGGTAAGATTTTTTCAATCTTACTATAATTTGTACATATTTTATTTAATGACAAATAAAATGGTTTACCATTGATCCTTCCTGGTCTGAAATATTTTTGCTACTTGTTAGTTCTTTATTCTGAAAAAAAAAAGAGTAAAATAATTCTACGTTATATTATTGCATTTCTATGTAGAAAAGTTTTAATTAAAAAATTACAAGAAAATAAAGATTTGAAAGCTGAATATTACAGAACAAATCTCACTGTACTCTGAACATAAGTAACAAAATTCTGCTTTTTACAACTTATTTCCTTGATAGTGTGTTTACTATTGGGTAGTGTTTATTACTGGTGGGGCAAGTGTTAGGAAAGAAAAGGAAGTTCTAGCTGCTAAAACATTCTGTACTTGATCTGGATCTACATAGGTATCCTCAGTCTTTTAAGAATTCATCCAGGTATGTATTTATGTGTACTTTTCTATATATTTAATACTATATACTTACACACGATTTAAAAAAAAACTCCTTTAAATTTTTACTAATGGACATATTTTCATTTCAGAATTTCCAGAGGAATTTTTTTTTTTTTTTCCTTTGGTACCGGGGATTGAACTCAGGTCCTTGTGGTTGCAGGGCAGGCGGTGGAACCACTAAGCTAAATCCCCGGCCCCCCCAAAGGAATGAAAATAAGTTAAAATAATAACCCAGAGCCTTCCCTATCCAGGGATGACTGCATTTATAACCTAACTTGTTGGGCAGGAGAACAGACATAAAGGAGGGTGTGACCAAGTGGGTTAAATGCTGCTGACAGGTCAAGACCGTATTTAACAACATGCAGTCATTGGTGACCTTGATGGGAGCTGTTTTGATGGGATGATGGGGGCAAAGGCCTGAGTACAATGGAAAGAACAAGAGATAAATTAGAGAGAGGGATCATAAAAGGATACAAGGATGTTGCTACAAAGAGGCACAAAGAAATAGGAGAAGGGTATCAATACTTTATTATGTACTACTATACACACAAAACTCCTAAAACCGAGAATCAACAATTTTAATACCTTTCTTTATTAAAACACTGACATTAAATTGATATTTGTATTCACTGTGAATAAAATAAACTATTTTAACATGGTAAGACAGATACTCACATTCAATGAAGGAAACACCTGTAAATCACTGTTGCAATCTAAGTTCTCATTTTTTGTTTTCCAACAGTCAATATTCTTCAAATAACCACAAAAATCTTCATCAACACGAAGTTCATGTTTTTGGGACCTCTCCTACTCAAGGTAAAATTCTATGTTATAATTTATTTCCATACTTCTTTCCCTAGAAGATAAATAAAACTTAATATCTAAATAATACCAAGATTTTATTGTTTAGAATTCTTGAAAAAACGAGGTAAAACAAAATATCAAAGAGAAAAAAGTTCTGAATGTAATTCTAACAATCTAACATTCATAACATTTTAGTCATTCCAATGTGTTCAGATTTAATAATATATAATGCAAGTGATTAAGGTACCACCACAAAGAAAGTTCCCAGAAAAAAATAAGACAAGACTTTGTCTTGGAGCTACTTCTACTTTATCCTATGTGTAAAGGATTTTACAGAGAAAGAAAACAGCACTTAATCGCCAAACAGTAACAGAAAGCAAATGCATAGAGCTATCTATCCCAGCTCAGCTCAGAGAACCTCAGCAGCCTGAGGATTGTAGAAAAATAAACAAGCCAAGCTCCTAATGGCAGCTCCCAGTCATCAAGGCAGGTTGGCTCTCACTGACCAAACAGGTTTGAGCAAAATAGGAAAGAATAGTAATAGAGCAGACTTCAACATACGACAAAGTAAAAATTTAAAAATTAAATGTGTCCACACTGATGATTAATTAACACCACAGTGGTGGTGAAACCAGCATGTGTGCCACAGCTAGCTGTTTGTTATCATTGAAAGCTCTAAAAAATTTGCCATCACTGCACTAGAGGAAAATATATACACCATATAGTAGGATGCTAATAAATGTAGAAGAAAACATGGGATTAGAAAATCATCATTTAGTAATCATTATAATAACCACTGATTCATCAGGCAAGAATCACAAAAGGATGATAAAACAAATGGATGAATGTCTGATGAATAGATATTTACACAGCTTCAAAACTATTTTCCCAAAAATTGTTAATAACAAAGAAAAAAGTAGTACCTTTGTCATGGAGAAACCCGGCAGATACCTCCTTAATCAACTGATCAAATTAACATCATCAAAAATAGGACAAACCAGTATTCTGTAATATTCAACCCAAAGTGTATAACCTGAATCTGATCATGAAGAAACATCAGAAACACTCAAACTGAGGGACATTTTACAAAAATGTACACTTCAAAAATATCACTGTCACCAGGCATGGTAGTGTATGCCTGTAATCCCAGCACTCTGGGAGGATGAAGCAGGAGAATCACAAGTTCAAGGCCAGCCTGTGCAATTTAGCAACTTAACAAGACCCTGTCTTAAAATAAATAAGGAAAGATAATGTAATGTGATCCTGCAATAAGTCCTACACTAGAGGGAAAAAAACTGCTATAAAATATATAATTGGGACACTGATGGAATTTTAATAAGGCCTATATTAGATAATAGCATTGTAGGGCCGGGGATTTAGCTCAGTGGTTTTGCCGCCTGCTGCACAAGCACAAGGACCCGAGTTCGATCCCCAGTACCAAAAAGAAAAAAGATAATAGGATTCTATCAATGTTAAATTTTCTGTAATATTATGTAATCTAAATGAATATATACCCTTAAGCAATATGCACTAAAGAATTTACAGTGAAGGGGTAAAATATTTAGGGATAAAGTCAAATAGACAGTATTCAAGGAAACTGGAATCTTTTACTCCAAATGGAAGATAATACTAATGAGAATACAGATACCCATACATTGCTCAGGATAGAAGCCAAACAGGTAATGGAGAAGCTGAATAGGAAATGATTCCAATTAGCCATTGTGAGAAACATCCAAGAAACACCCTGCTGAGTAACACAGGACCCTGGCACATGGCCCCCCCCGCCCAGCCCCCCAAGAGGGGCGACCCTGGGCTTCTGAGTGCCATCATGGGGCAGGAGAAGCCTCCTCAGCCTAGCCTCTTTTCCTTCCCCCATGCTGTGGCCTCACCCCAGATTCTCCTTTCTTCTCCTCACCTCTGAGACCATCCTGAACTCAGTTACAAGTTCCCTACAACTAGTTTTTTGAATAAAGTGAAATGTAAATTTCTTTCTCAAATTAATCTGATTTTCATTTACAAGTGACCCACAGCTCCTTTTATCAATGGCCACTATGAGTCTGATTTAAGTATTTACTAAAATTTTTGTAAGACGCAAGGAAACTGAAAGGTTTATAGTCTTCTCAGAAAGCATATACTTTGACTTATTGCTTTGAGTGCCAAAACTGATCTGGGCCACTTCTAAAATCACAATCTCTATTTCTAGCCTCCTCATCTGATGAGCTAATAAATCCTTATATTGGTTAATATTCCATCATAATTTTATATACATTTGTGTTTTACTTACTTCCAGATCAGGATAGTCATTGTGACAGGTATGATACTTCAAATGCCACTCTATGGTAAACTTCACAGGCCCAGAACACCTGAATGACTTAACTGTTCAGGAAAAAAAAGTCTCATTTTACATTAATAATATCTATAGTCCAGTGTAAACTTAAGATTTCAAGAATACAATTTAAAATAGGACTCTTTAATGTCAAGATGAGTAAAACATTACTTAATTTCTCTAAAGTCACTACAAAATTAGACAAATTCATTAAACTATTATAGCTAACCAAAAGTTGCCATAACACTATTCATCTGCCCAATACTGGACTCAACTGAGTCACAGCTTATATCAGTCTAAAATATTATTGCTACTCACTTATATTGAAGGAGTGTACCAGAAAAGGTCATGATGGAAAAAGAGTAATTGCCACCCATGACCTAAAAAGTACTGGGGAGGAGAGGGTTAACAACAAAATAGGCACTGTTAATAGACCAAAGGGTGGAAACAGAGTACCCAGAGTGCCACAGGAGACCTCGTCAGGGCACTTAAGATATTCTAGGAAGCATGAAGAACTGCTTTGGCAGGCTTATAGTGGAGGAGGAGAAGCAGAGGTCACCCAGGTGAAGAGGAAGGAAAAGAGCACATGCAAATGCACAAGTGAGTGTGAGCGTGGCATGGGTGTGACCCCCTGAACATAGTGCACTATGGTTAGAACATGGATTGGAGGGAAAGGGAAGTCTTGAAGCAGGGAAAAATCCATGAGTGCTCTTTCACTTTGGCAAGGAACATACCCTTTATTTTGAATATAATGAGCTATTACCAATCATTTCAAGTTCTGGGTGATGTGATTGATCAGAATGAAAAGGGTTAAGTCTCCAATTATGAAAGCTTGTTGAGAGTGTCCCTACAGCATGGTAGCTGGTTTCCCCCAAGCAAGAATTCAGGGAAGGGGCCAGGGATTTAGCTCAGTGGTTCTGCCGCCTGCCTCGCAAGCCTAAGGTCCTGAGTTCTATCACTGGTACCAAAAAAAAAAGAAAAAAATTCAGGAAAGGAGCAAAGAAGGAGCCAGAGCAGCTTTTGTAATATAGCCTCAGAAGTAATACACACTACTTCTGCAATAGTCTACTGGTTACCGAGACCAATACTGATGTAACATGGCAGGGGACTGCACACCATGGGTCATCTGAAAGGCTGGGACCTATATATGGGGAACCCAAACCAAGCCCAGAGAGAGAGGTTCAAGAATCAAAGGCCAGTACAACTGCTAGGCCGAATACCCAAGAGATGGCAGCTACACAGAGAAAAAGAAGTCTGCACAGTCATTCCTTTGACTCTCTGGCTGAAGAGCAGCCTGCTTGTGCACAGGGAGAAGCCCAGCGGTTGCTAGAGTTCATATAGGGCTGGGTACTGTTTAGGGTTTCCACTGGCTAGAATGGAGAGGCCTCATCGAATACACCATGCATTCAGGAAAGAAGCAGAATGACTGCACCTCAGATATGGTGCTAAATTAGTCCTGGTGTAAAGGTTATTCTAGATCCATCCTAAAAGAACTTTTAACACAAAATTGGGAAGGACCACGCTGACCCACAAGAAATGATCTCCTCAAACAAAGTTGTTGAAAGATTACAACATCACCTAGTACTTGAAAGCAAAATTTACAATATTCATCATCTAAACAAAAATAATGCGTATGTAATACATGAAAATGTGTCAAAGATGATGAAATTAGCAGGCAAGAATGTGAAAATAGACATGTCTTATATGCTCAACGATGTAAAGGAGAATATGAAAATACCAAGGAGAAAAATAAGATGTAAAAAAGAGGGCCGGGGATTTAGCTCAGTGGTTCTGCCGCCTGCCTCGCTAGCGCAAGGTCCTGAGTTTGATCCCCCATATCAAAAAAAAAAAAAACCTCAAGCAGGACACAGCGGTGCATGCCTGTAATTCCAGTACTCCAGAGGGTGAGGCAGAAGGATTCCCATGAGTTTGAGCCCAGCCTGGGCTACAGAGTGAGTTCAAGGCCAGCCTAAACTACATAGACTCTGTCTCAAAAAAAAAAAAACCCAAACCAAACAACAAATAAACAACTCAATTTATGGAGACTAAAACAACAACAAAACTCTGAAATAAAAAGGTCTCAGCATGAGATTAAGAGCAGATTAGGTACTGCAGAAGAAAAGATCAGTCAATCTAATGACAAAGCAAAAGAAATACCCAAAATGAAGCACAGGATGAAGAGACTGAAATAACAGTACCTCATTCACCTGGGGGACAATAAAGAAATATCCAAAATGACTGAAATAAATAACAGTATCTCATTCACCTGGGGAACAATATCAAGTGGTTTAACATATATGTAATTAGAATCCCAGAAGAGGAGGGAAAAAGATGTGTCTAGTGTCTAAACCCATGAGATTTTTTTTTTTTCCATATGGATATCCAGTTGTCCCAAATCAACTGTTAATAAGATTCTCCCTTCTTCTATGAATTACCCAGGAACCTTTGCTGCAAATCAATTAATTGTGTGAATGCATGTTTATATCTAAGCTTTCCAGTATGCTTCATCATTTTGTACGTCTGTCTCTTTGACAAGCTTCACTGTCATGATACTATAACTGTATGCAGGTTCTGAAATCAGACAGCAAAAACCCTTCAAACTCGTTCTTCAAACTTGCTTTGGTTATTCCATGTATTTATATCCTTATGTAAAATTTTAGAAACATCTAGTTAATTTCTACATAAAGATTCCGCTGGATTTTGGGGATTAAAATGAATTTATAAATCAATTTGAAGAGAACTGACAGTGTGATGTTAGCTATAGATTTTGGTTTTTTTTGGTACTGGGGATCGAACTCGGGACCTTGTGCTTGTGAGGCAGGCGGCAGAACCACTGAGCTAAATCCCCAGCCCTAGCTATAGATATTTTTACAGATGCTCTTTATCAGGTTAATGAAGTTCCCTTCTATTCCAAGTTTTCAGAGAACTTTTATCTTGAACGGGTGTTTAATTTTTTCAAAAGCTTTTTTTCTGGCTATACTGAGATTATTAAATAGGCGGTGTATTTGCTATGTTCTGTTAATACAGTGAACTCTGAGAGATTTTCTTTTTCTTTTTTTGGTACCAGGGATCAAACTCAGGACCTTGTGCTTGCCAGGCAGGCTAGGTGCCACTGAGCTAAATCCCTGGCCCTATACTGAGAGATTTTCAACACCGGCTCCAAATAAATATATTTTCAACAGGGTAGCAAAAGAGGGGTCACCTAAGGGAAAGTCAGGTATCTGATCCATCAAAACAGCATGAACACATATCCAAGGCTTGGTCCTTAATTTTGCTGGCACTAAGATCTGGGTCTATAAGAACAGGGAAACTTGATCTTATGCTTTCAGTACACTTCCAATGTGGATGTACACACTAGAATGCTCATTTACTCACTTACATGGCAACAGTAAGTAGACGTGCAACAACCAGCTGACTCCTTTCCTTCAGCAGGCCTCCCTAGAAACCCAGTGGTGAAGAGAAGGTTGTTCGGTGAGCAAAGCACCAGCACAAGGAGGCTCAGAGGGTGCTTCCTGCATACCAGCCAGCCTGTGACACAGCTGTAATCGTGGCTGAAGAAGACCATTCTCTTAATGGTGCTGTGAGACACCCTCAGCTTCTGCCTGACTTAAAAGCCAGCTGTGTTATGTGGTACTTCTGCTCTTAAATCCTTTGTGCTGCCCCCTTCTTTCTTTATGTTAATATGTTAATGTCTTGACTGTGATCTACCCTTAGATTGGTCTCAGAAATTATGTAACCATTTTTAAAAATCAAATTCTGTGTTTCAGTGGCCCACATTACTTTTTTTTCCCCCCATAAACCCTTCTGTCAGCCTTAGTATGGTTTAAAGCCTACTTGTCTAGCAAAGACATGCCTAACCTCGCCCACCTGGGACTTCAATTTCCTCTTACCACACATCACCATGATCGATGACAACATAAGAGCTTCTCTAAACTACCTCTGCTTCCTAGCTGTTGGCTGGCCTAGCTTCCCTAAGGAAAAGCCCACAAATGGGGGAATCGCCTCCCACAGCTGCTCAGAGCATGGTGTGAGAGAGAAAAGGGACACAGCATTAGATCCTGGGGAAGATTTACCTAGTGAAAACTACTCCTTATCCTGAGACTTTCACTCTGACAACCACTTTCCTAATCAAGATACTAGAAACAAAAAGAGAAAACAGACCACAGTGAATATAATCCAATGGTAACCCATTAAAATGATCAAAAATATTGGCACATAACAGAAAAGACCATACCTAACAATACTTTCCCTTTCCTAAACCCTAGAACTAACTGAAAATTAATTAAAATGTCCAGCAATTATTTCATACTATGATATAATGTATATTTAGAAAATTCTTGGAGCACAAGGGATTTATCACAATCATGACATTTCCTATATTCATGAAAGGAATTTTAGCTAATTTCAAAATCTGGGACTCAAAGTCAAATTTCACAGAAAAATACTTTTTTGATTAAGCACATTTATTAGACTTTATAATTGTTAAACAATGAGTCATTTTTTGAAATATTAGAAAAATCTCTTGAAAATAGTCAAGTCTTGACTGAAACAAAACTCAAAAATGTTAGAACCACTGAAAAACTAAACAGCTGATTAGCTTACTATATATTATTTACAATGTTTACTTTAATGTATGCTTTTAATATAGATGATTATTTATCAGTATGTTTTCATTATACTTACCAGAAAACTTGATCTCAGTAGAGTTAAACATAGTTTTCCTAAATATCAAAGGTCCCGATTTCTAAAATAAAAAATACAGAAAAATCCTGTTAATGTTTTTAAGAATAGTTTTACTCTACAAAATATAGAGCTCTAATTCTTGCACTCCTGCCCGAGCACAAGAGTCTTTTAAAATGTAAATCTGATCACACACTCACTTGCCTACAATACTGTCCAGCACATCCACAGCAGCAGACGTGAGTGAGGATCAGGTGGCCCTGTCTGGCAGACTCATGTGGTCTCAGCTGGGGCCAGGGGCACACAGGAGGGAAGGGCTGCGGCCAGCGCAACTATCACTGCTCTGATGTGGTATGAAACAACTGTATGTTTACATACTGCTCTCTTGGTATCAAAATGAATGTACTTTTGATTAAACAACTCTCTCCCTCCCCAAATGTTATGGCTTACCACTGTAATCAGGACACACCAAAATGCCTAAGGACCCTGCACAATCAAAGGCTGCTCATCTCTAGCAAAATGCATGATACTCCTTCCTACCCTCAGGGCCTTAGTGGTCAACCTGCACTTGCTTAAAATTGTTTCTTACTGAAAAATCGTTTCTCATGCTTTTTCTTCACCTAGTTAGCTCCTTCTTACTCTTCAAGGCCCAGCTAAAAGGTTCCTCCTGGCCTTGGGTTTGATCTCCAGGGACCCACAACTCCTTCATAGGGTCTCTAGCACTCATTCTGCTTCATATCTCTTACCACAGTTAAAATCAAACAGTCCTCCTCAAGAATAAGTCATGTGAGAAGAGACTATTTTACATGAACAAGTGGATAGGACAATAGCAATAAAACCCCAGCCCAGATCACTCCTGTGAGCCCCAGCTCCATGTATCCAACTGCCTAAGACATGTCCACTAGGATGTCGAACAGGCATTCCACAGCACCCTGCTCCAGACACATTCCTCTCTTCTCCTCACCATCTCATCCTACACTGTCTACTTTGAAGGTGAAGCCATCCAGTCATCAGTCATAGCTCCTTCACCCCCACTGCTCAATCTTGAATACATGCCTACTTTCTCTCACAGGCCCCTTCCAAAAATTTAGTTCTTTTTCTCCATGCCTGCCACCAGCAATCTAACTCAGGCCCTCAATATTCCTGCTTAGACTTCTTTTTTTTAATTCATTAAGTTTATTGGTACATTTTAGGTATACAGTATGATGCCATTCATCAATGGGTATTTGTACCTGTACACGATATATCTTGGTTCATATTTTTCCTCATTCCCCTGCCCTCCCTTCAACCCCTCTGCCTCTTCCTATTTACAAAGACTTTGTTTCCATTTTTTTCCTTTTCTCATATTTTTTCTTTTCCCTTCTTTCTTTTCCCCTACCCCTTCCTCACTTCCCCCTTCTTCTTCCCCTTTGGACCTTTTCATCCTGTTTCGCATTATCTATCATACATTTTGGTCCTCATTTACACTTTCAGTTTCTCACATCAGAGAAACTATTCGGTATTTACATGTGTGTCCTATTTATTTCACTTAAGAGTATGGCTTCAATATGCCTCCATTTAGGTATAAATGTCTCTATTATTCTTTATGGCTGAGTAGTCCTCCATTTTATATTTTAAAAAATACATCTTCATCCAGTCACCAGTTGATAGGCATTTGGTCTGTTTTTAAGAATTAGCTATTACAAACTGTGCCACTATAAACATGGATGCACCTATATCACTGTGGTATGATACTTTTAATTCTTTTGGGAAGATACCCAGCAGGGGACTAGCTGGGTAAAATGGGGCCTCTAATCCTAGTTTTTTGAGATATCTCTATACTGATTTCCACAGTGGTTGCACCAGTCTACACTCCCACCAACAGTAGAGAAGGTTCCCTTTTTCCCCACAACCCCACCAGCATTTGTTATTGATTTATTGATAGCAGCCATTCTTTCTGGAGTGAGGTGGAATCTCAGTGTTGTTTTCATTTGCATCTCTTAAGTGACCAGTGATGAACATTTTTTCATGTTTATTTGCTGTTTCTATTCTTTGAGAAATGTCTGTTCACTTCAGAGGCGCATTCTTGGATTGGGTCTTTAAATTTGGGAGGTCTGATTTTTTTTAAGTTCTTATATATTCTAGATAGTAGACCTTTGTTTGAGGAATAGCTGATAAAAAATTTTTTCCCACATTGTGGGTTGTCTCTTTACTCTGTTGGTGGCTTCTCTTGCTGTGCAGAAGGTTTTTTGTCGGGGGCGGGGGAGATACTGGGTATCTAATTCAGGACCTTGCGCTTTTGAGGCAGGCACTGGAACCACTGAGCTAAATCCCTGGCCCTTCCGTGCAGAAGCTTTTTAATAAGAAGAGATCCCACTTGTTGATTCTTTGTGCTAGTTCCCATGCAACTGAGGTTTTGTTCATAGTCTTCCTATCCCAATGTCTTCAAGAGTTCTACCTCACCTCTCTTCCAGCAGGTTTAGTGTTTCTGTTTTAATATTTAGATCTTTGATCCATTTTGATTTTACTTTAGTGCACGGTGAGAGATATATGTCTAGTTTGAATCTTTGGCAAGTTGAAACCCAATTTTTCCAGCACCATTAAAGAGGCTATCTTTGCTCAGTGAAGGTGTTTTAGCTCAGTGGTTTCGCCGCCTGCTATGCAAGCAAAAGGACCCAAGTTCAATCCCCAGTACCAAAAAAAAAAAAAAAGAAAAAAAGACGAAGTGGCTGAGTGTGTCTGGCGTTGTTTCTGCATCTTCTAATCTGTTCCACTGGTCCTCTGGTCCGTTTCTTTGCCAGTACCATGCTGTTTTTATCACAGCAGCTTTGGAGTATAGTTTCAAGTTGGGGACTGTGATACCCCTTACCTTGTCTTTGTTGTCTAGAATTGCTTTTGCTATTCTAGGTATCTTCTGGTTCCAAATGAATTTTTGGTTTGTTTTCTCTAGTTCTGTGAAATACGCTGTCGGAATTTCAATTGGTATTGCATTGAATCTATATAGCAGTTTTGGAAGTACAGCCATTTTCACTATATTGGTTCTTTCTATCCAGGAGCAAGGGATGTCTTTCCATTTTCTGATATCCTTTCCGATCTTTTTTTTTCAGAGTACTGTAGTTTTCAGAGTAGAGAGGGCTTTGACTTCTTTCATTAGACTGATTCCTAGGTATTTCATTATTTTGGATGCTATTGTGAAACAAATTTTTTCTCTATTTCCTCTCTCAGTGAGTTTCTGCTTAGACTTCTGCAACAGCATAACTGGTACTTCTGCCTCTAGCCTATAATTTATCCTTGGACCAGCTTGAACAATCACCATTTGTCAAAAATCCTTGAACCGTTTCTCTTTCACTCACACCCAAAATTAGGTACTTAGGTATAGCTAACTCAACCTATAAAGAGGGTATGTTTTAAGTTAGTTTTAAGTGAGTTGATATCATAAAATATGGTTCCCAGACTCACTTAAAAAGGAGACCTGGGAATCCTGTGCCTCCCCTGCCATCAAGTATTCAACCAAACCAAAAGTCAGGAGAGGCATGCAATCTGTAATCAGGATGGACCAGTTTACTTTACCCACTGATAAGCTCTGCCTCACGCCTGCAGGTTCTGGAGACTCCTAGCCTTAGGTTCAAGTCAAGTGCAGGTGTAAAATGGTTGTGGCAGCCTCACTCCCCTCAAGCACCATGCCAGAACTTCACTCAGCAGAAGCACCACGAATTTCCTGCACTGCTGCTGTTCAACTTCCTTATTTTCTTACCAAGAAAATATATCTAGAGAGTTGTGCAGAACACATGGGGAATCAGCCCGCTGCAGACAGGCAGGTCTGTGCACCCCCTAACGAGGTCCTGAGTTGCACGGAAGATGCCGAATCACCCCGCTGCAGACAGGCAGGTCTGCCCATGCCCTATCTACGTCCTGAGTCGCGCAGAACATGCCGAAGCAGCCCGCTGCAGACAGGCAGGTCTGCCCACACCCTACCGAGGTCCCCAGTCGCGCGGAACACACACCGAACCAGCTCGCTGCAGATAGGCAGGTCTGTGCACGCCCTACCAAGGTCCTGAGTCGCCCAGAAGACACCGAATCACCCCGCTGCAGACAGGCAGCCACCTGATTCCACACTACAAAGACACAGAGGACACCAGACCACCAGACCAAGGTACTGAGTCCCAGTGCTCCTGGTCCAGAGGAAGGGGCTTCCCAGTCAACATCCCTCCCACTGCTCCCAGCCCAGAGGAAGAGGCTCCCGGGCCACCATCCCTCCCACCGCTCCTGGCCCAGAGGGCGGGGCTTCTGAGCCACCATACCACTGCTCCTGGTCCAGAGGAAGGGGTTTCCTGGCCACCATCCCTCCGGCTGATCCCAGCCCACAGGAAAGGGCTTTTGGGTCACCATCCCTACTGCTGCTCC